TGTTTCTCCAAGCCCTGCCAGGAGCGATTTCTGAGCATAGAGTCATGAGCAATGCTGAGTATGGCCCCAAAAACCTAAAATAAAATAGAATAAACTAGAAATGCTTAAAGGCCAGAAAGAGGTCACAAGAGCCAAGAAGGCCTTATATATAGCAGATCTTGGTTTGCCCGTTGGTGCTGCAGACAGCACCTGCCATTACTGCCAGGGGTCACTTCTGGGCACGGAGCCGGAAATAGCTCCTGAGCACAGCCAGCTGTGGTCTAAAAACTAAGGTATAAGTAAACATATGGTCACAATTGTTTTGGGCTATTTGAAAGTACATTCCCATCCCAACTTCACTCCCAGTTCAGGCTCGTGAGTTTCCCTCATGGTCTTGTCTGTTTATTCTCCTTGATTTCAGGACAGTCCCTTGGCCCTTTTGCTCACAATATCGACATTTCCATAAGGGACAGGTTATGTGCTTTAGTCAGTATCCCTCCATGTGGGATCTGCGGCCTCATGCTGTGGTCTTTGCCTCTGGAGGAGGAGCAGCAGGCAAATGAGTCCTTCCTGATGCATCAGGAGGAACCAGGTATAGCGTCAGTTTGCTGAATGGTTTCAGCGGGTGCATGTCAGGCTTTTCCACCACAGCCACTGAGACAGAAAAAAAAATTATGGGGGGCAGACAGGAGTGTAAATAACTTGCTCCCTAAGTTCCCTGCCCAGTGGTTTGGGCATCAGTGGTCTGATGAGTGTCTTTTTATATATATGTGAAAGCTGGTAGATTCTCTAACTCTACTGTCCCTTCTGACTCTATCACTTATTGGGTTCCTACGAGGAAGCATTTGGCAGGATGTGTGCCAGATGCTTTCCCATCTCTGTGGAACACCTGAACCCCCTGCTTAAACTGTCTTTCCCATTAGCAAACCCTGCCCATCCTCATGACTCAGGTACAGGGGCTGGAGAGACAGCGCAACCTTTGTAGGTGGCCAGCCCTGGAGTGATCCCCGAGCACAGAGTCAGTGGTAAGCTCTGAGCACTGCTGAAGGTGGGCCTAAAGCAAAAAACAAAGAAGCAAAACTCAGATCCAGGACCACCTACTTCAAAACCTTCCCCATGCTAACTGGGCAGACCCCTACCCAACTCCCTCTCCCCACCCCACCCCACCCCTCGCTGTGGTTCAAGCAGACTGGGTTGCTACTGTATAATCTTCACGAAGGCCCGCGATGAAGAGGGGCTGGGAAGAGGGCCTGTGTCTTGCGGGCAGGACTCTCACTCCAACCACATCTTCTGAAGTTACATTGTGATTCTCCCACTGCAGTGAGCCTCAGGATCACTAGGAGTGCTGATAACGGAGTCTTCAACCCCCTCTGGGAGGCACCACCCTCAAATCTCACTGGCTTGCTAAATATCTGTTTTTTTCCTTCTGCCCCTATGCCAACTTCAGGTCTATGCAGTTCTACAGAGATAAAACCCATTTCAGAGCATGGCAGGCATGGCAGACATGGCATGGATAAGAAGACAGTGGAGAATCATGCATGGGCCTCTCTCGGCTCACAGGTCACACTGTACCTGGTGGCTGCTAATGGCTGGGAAACTTGGGGAGCATGTGTGCCTGATGGCCATCTGGCGAGCACCACCAGGTCAGCCAGAGACAGGCCCTTGTTCCCGGCATTAGCCCCTGCTGCCTCCTGTCATTCAGACACACCCGGGCTTTCCTGCCTTGGGGTCTTCGCACCAGTTTCTCTTTCCCCCAAGTGATCTTGTGTCAGATCTCACAAGGTGGATTCAAATGCCATCACCCTGGAGAAGCCTTTGCAGGTCACCCAAAGTGACATACTATAGTGACACAGTTTGGTATTACTGCTCTTAGTAGTAGGTTGGATGGACACTCCATGGGAGAAGTCGCTGGGTAGTTTGTCACCCCATGCCCATAGCCTACAATCATGGCCACGAGGCACACGGCAGACACTCATGATATATTCACTGAACCAGTTAACCCTAAGATGAATCACAGTTTTATAGAGTTTTAACCATCTTGTAGGTTAAACAAAAATGGAGGATTCCAAGAGGGTGGCTTGCCCCATTCATGCCCACTAGGCTGCCACTCAACAGGATGCTCACTTGCATAAGTTCCTGCTGCCAAGTATTAAGGTGGCAGAATAAATTTTATTTTATCCCATTCTTCTTGCAATTTTCCACCTTGGGGCCCATCAATGGGTGTCTTTGGTTTTTAAAAGTCTCTTTGGACCAGAGAGGTAGTACTGAGAATTAAGGCACTTTCTTGCACACTACCAAATGGGGTTCAATCCCTGGCACCACATACAGTCGCCTGAACACTGCCGAGAGTGAGCCCTGAGTACAGAGCCAGGAGTAATCCCTGAGCACCACTGGGTGTGGCACTCCCCACAAATGAAAATAAAGTCTCTTAACACAACCCCATGGAGGGCAATTTGGAAGCATTCCTGGAGGAACTTATCCATAAATATGCTCGCCTGTGAGTTATAACACAGCAAACAATTGGAACAAATTGCCAATGTGTAGAGAACAGGTCCATAGAGGTATTCTCAATGGGTCTGTGTACATGGTGCAGTGGTTCACAGCCCTGAAAAGGGAAGACCTGCAAGCTCTGGTTGGAAAGTTCTTTGAGTTGTTGTGTTAAAAGGCTGTTATTTTAATGTATGTAAAATCTTTTATTTAAGTTCCACAGTGCTGAATCTTTCATCTTTCATCTCCCCAATGAAAATATAAAAACAAGATGAATCAGTCAAGAGGGGACATAGGAAGAGACAGCTGGGAGGTCATAGGGCTGCGCAGGGACCCTAGAGACACTTTGGTGGTATAGAGGAGTGGTATAGCTGTGGATCCGAACCACACAGCCAACCACACTGGAGATCCAAACTACAATAACCAAACCTCAAAATGTGCCATTAAGGTGGCAGGCTGGGAAGTGGGAGGGAATCTGAGGACACTGGTGGAAGGGGACAGGGTTGATGCTGGAACACAGTAAGCCTGAAACTCAACTATGAGTAGCCTTGCAGATCACAGTACCTTAATGAAAATTAAAACCAAACCAACAAACCCAAGATGAATCAGAATAGCAATGTGGTTTCCATCCTTTAAATGTATTTTATTGATATTAGAGAATAAAAATTTCATGGTTGACTTTTTTCTTTTTCCTTTTTTTTTTTTTTTTGGATGGCCGACAACACACTTTTGGGTAGTGGTTGCACAATATTGATCATTTGTTTATTCACTACACTAAATACTGCAGCCCCCCAGGTACTGATTTTGACTCTGGTATTTCCTTTGTGATGGCCAGGGCGGCTCCTCTCTCTGAACACATGAAGTGGTGGATGGGTGGGTCCATGGTTTCACATTCCTTTGTTATTCTACCTACCGCTTTAAAATACATTCACAGGAAAAGAGACAAGATCCTTGCAGTGAGTGTAGGTATACAATAGTGAGGAGGGTTGAAAATAAAACAATCAGCCAAGCCCCTCCTGTTCACGGAATAAATAGTCTGAAATGGTGGGACTGCAGCTCAGTCTTCAGTGGACACCGGTTACACTCACTCAGCTGAAGGACACACCTTTGGCTAAGGAGGGCTGGGGGATGGTGGTGGTGGTGGTGGGAGTGCAAAGTGACCGTTTTGTTTGCCTGTGATGCCGCTGTCTTCCCGCATGGATCTGGAGCACACAGGCCCCCGGGGACGGCCGTGAGTCCAGTGCGGTCCTCAGACGGGAATAAATAAGTTACCTGCTCAGAATAGCTCTCCCTGGAGCTGGGGAGGAGAGGAGTTTGCTACAAAAGGGCACATACACAACAATAAATAAAAGTCAGGTGGGTGACGCAAGAGGACTAGGTTCCCGTCCATCCCTGGTGCTTCCCATCTATCTGTCCCTAAGGATAAAAAGTGGCACGAAGACAAAGGGCGTGGGGGGGGGGGGGGGCTTGAGGGAGTCACGCCCTCGGTCTGCAATAAAAAGGCAAAGCAAAAGACGAGAGGAGTGAGTGCAGGAGAGGGAGGTGGCTTATGAGCACGAACTGGAGCAGGCTGGACGCCAAGGCCTGTGTCTTTGTCGAACCCGCTTTCACTGTTGGCAAAGCTATGCATCACCTTCTCTACATTTACCCTCGTAACCTCTCCGGAGGGCGGTGGTTTTGGGTCTGGCCTACAGGTGAGAGAGCAGCTGGGTTCTCCGCTGGCCTGGTGTGTTGGGAGGAGGATGCTGCGGCCCTGCAGCCGTAGAGGGGAAACACCCTTGACTCCCCATGTAGTGCCACCTCTTCCCTAAAAAGGAGCCAAAGAAGGGACGGGGGAGGGAGGAATGCTGCGGGGGTCAAATAAGGGCACAGGACACACAGGGAGGAGGGGAAGTACATTCTCTTTGGGGTCAGACATCTGAGCTGAGAGCTGATGACCAAGCATCAGCGCAGGTGGAAGGCATGGGAAGAGGTCACAGTTCAAGAAAGCAGCGACGGTCCACTGAGGCCGAGCCAGGGAAGCGTTGAAGCCCACGGGCCGCCCTCACGAGAGTGGACAGCCTGGCCACGCCACGCCAACCGGCGCCAGCTGCCTCGGGTCTCCTTAGGCTGGGCGGGTGAGGCAAAGCAGCCTGTGACCCCAGGGACCAGGGTGGGGGGTGGACAGAGAGGGACGCCTGCAGTGATTCACTGGTCTCCTATCCATGGGATAGGAAGCCACTGGGGAGGTTCAGTGCTTCTCAAACAGAAAGAAGTGGGAAAGGACCCGCCCGGCCCGGTCCCCAGCCTGGCACAGGCAAAGTCCTGGTGTGAGCTGTGAGGATGCTGGGGTGCCACCACGGGATGGCAGAGTCAGGGCCGGGCAGGCGCCAGGTGTCCGAGTACACACGTACTCATTATGTACACATTTTACAGTCTCCGCTCTCCCCCGTAGGCACGAGGTCGATTTGTCTAGCTCAGCAGGGGGTAAGGGCAGAGGTGGGAAGAGGGAGAGCGAAGGGGCGGGGTGGGATGATGAGGGGAGGGGAGCGAGATTGGTCTCTGCGGGTGGGGCGGGGCGGGGGGGGGGGCCCTCCACCCTCACCGTAAGCTGGTCTGTTTGGGGAGCTTAGCACCCATCAAGATGCCCGAGGTGAGGGTCACGGGGGCTTTCATCTGCATGCTGGACCCCACCATGGCGGGGAAGCTGCGGTTCCGGCGGATGCCGCTGCTGAGCTGGAGTCCGCCGATGGTGTGGGTGACTGTGGGGCAGCCGAGAGGCAGGCCCTCGGGGACCAGGCCCTGTGCGGGGCCCGGGGGCCCGCAGAGAAGTGGTCCCTGGTCCTCAGTCAAGGTCGAGGGAACCTGGGCTTGGCCCGCGTGCACCGCCCGAGCCACGCCAAAGCGCCGGACTTTGTCCACGAGGTTGAGGTTGGAGACGGACACGTCGGTCTGGCTCTCGCTGCTCCGCGTGTTCTTCTTCTCCCGCACCTCCCTCAGGATGGAGCTGGCCGGCTTGGACGCCAGGAAGTTGTCGTAGGGGGGACTCGTGCACTTGAACTCGAAGGAGGGTGGGGACGACGTGGGGGTCTGCATGGGCGAGTTGGGCGGCGTGGAGGGGATCACGGCCATCCGGGGCGTGTAGGAGTGCAGGAGGGAGCCCCGGGCAGCCCGGTCCCAGCTCTGGGGGTCGTACACAGCCGCCGAGATGCCTCGCTCCTTCAGCAGCCACACCAGCCCCAGCGACGTGCTCATGGTCGTGGTGGACTCGCGCGCGTTGGTGAAGGATTCCGCCAGGCTCAGTCTCCGGGGAGTGCAAGGTGTGGCCGTGGGCGTGGGCTTCAAGTGGCCGCTGCCACTGCACGCTGGCGTTGGGGCTGAGTTAAGGCTGAGAGGAACGGACAAGGGGTTAGTCCTAGGGAGATATGCCGACGAGTGTCCTGAGAAGGGGCCAGGGCGCTGGGCAGGGGGAGGATGCGCCCCTGGCTTGGGCTCCCCAGATGCCTTTTTTAAGCTCCTGCCTCTCACCCCTGGAGGCCTGGGGACACCCCCCATACACACACCTTAACATGTTGATACGGATGCTAGAGTTTGTGTTAATTAAACCCCATTCAAGTTTGAGCCATGGTGCCATGTGCCAGTGCCAACGTGTTAAGAGGGGCCTAGTTCAAGCCCATGCCCTTCTCTGGGCCCTAGAGGGTGGGTCAGACTGTCCCCAGGGCAGGGTCGGGGACTAAGGCTCAAAAGTGAAGAACAGGAGGTGAATCTCACATCCAGCTCTTATGGGAAACTCTGGATTCAAAACCGTGAGAGGACCAAGGAGGACAGAGGCCTTTTCTCTCCCAGCCAGTCCCACGACTCTAACAGGGTAGCTGCTGCGTTTCCTCGTGAGGGCCAAAGCAGGTGGGGTAAACCCGAGGTGGGGGTGCCCTCGGCTGAGGGGAACTGATGCCTGTGATGAACAACAGCAGGTCAGTGGCAGAGTTCCTGAGTCCACTTTCCGTGGTTGTCCCAACTCAGTGTCCCCCAACCATTCAGGTGTGAATGGGGTTGGGGATTCAGGGAAGCGACGGCAGGATTCCAGAGGAAAGCTGGGTCCCAGAAGTGAAGCCCTCGTAGAGAGCAGCGGGCAGAAAGCCTCCTCGATTGGCTGCTACAGGAGTGGAAGGACACCATGTGTGCACAGAAGCCACAGAGTCTGGGGGCTGCGGGGTCCCTGGGAGAAGGGTGACCTCAGGAGCTGGGGGGCATCAGCTTCTTCCCCCAGACACACAAGGAAAGTGGGGCAAGATGCTTCAGGGAAAGCACCAAATGGGCTTTCAGAAAGAAGGGGGACAGCTCAAAGCCACTTGCGGTTGGGGCATCTCTGGGCCCCCACTCCACCAGGTGACCTGACAGCTGGCCGCTGGCACCGGGCGTGGAACCCAGACCAGGCCCTGTCACACACTCAGGTCAGCAGCTCTTGGGAGACACGAGGTTAGAAACCACAGCAGAATCCTCGGGTTATGGTGGATTCTCACCAAGCCACAGTGGGATCCCGCGGGAGGCAGACCCACAGGCCACCAGGGGCAAGAACATTCTGGATGTCAAAGCTATGGAGGGCCATTGCTCTTGGGAGAGTTCCAACGTTGTGGGGTTCTCTCAAACTCAGGCAAAATTAACTTGGAAATCTTAGAAGTAACTTCTTAGGCATCAGTGGCCCCCACAGACAAGACCTCCTGCACTCGGAGGTGAACCAGGGCTTCCCAGAGTTCAAGCCCTGTCAGGGTGCGGGTCTGGGGTCTCCCAGAGCAGGAGGGGCGGAGTCGAGCTGACATGGGGGAGCTCTCTTTCTGGCAGGCACTTCCGTTAGGCCTGGGCTGATTATTAGTGCTGGATGCTCGGTGCCTCACAGGGGCGTTAAGGCAGGTTAGCGGCATCCGCCATCAAGGCCGTGTTAGCCAGGCACAGCCACAGAGACACAGCCACACCGAAGTCCGGGGTTAGTGGCGGCCACGCGCACACACACAACACCTTCACAGGGTGCCACGAGGGCGGGCCCGCCGGCACTGCGCTCACCCCCTGCCTCGCTCGCGGGCTCCCTCTCTGCCCTGCGTCGCCGCCTCTCGGCTCCACAGGGCAGAGGGCCGCTTCGTCGTCCTCCTCACTTGACCTGTGGAGAGTTATTTAGAGTTTGAGGAGCTCGCAGGGTGCGGCTCCCTGGGAGGGGGTCGACTCACCACCCTCCAGTTCTGCTTCACCTTCCATGCCTCTGGCTTGGCTGCACCACAGAGAGCGTGGGTAAAAAGGTCACTCCACCCTCCTGGGCAGCGTTCGTGTGTGTGTGTGTGTGTGTGTGTGTGTGTGTGTGTGTACTGGTGTGTGTGAAATGTGTGCATGAGTGTGTGCATGCGTGTTGGTGTGTGTGAGTATGTGCATGTGTATTGGTGTGTATAAATGTGTGATGTGTGTGTTGGTTTGTGTGTGCGCGTGCGTGTGTGTGTTGGGGTGTGTTTGTGTGTGTAAGTGTCCATGTGTATGCATGTGTATGTGTGAGTGTGTGTATTGGTATGTGTGAAATGTGTGTAAGAGTATGTGTGTGTATGTGTGTGTGCATATGTGTGTTGGTGTGTATAAATGTGTGTGTTGGGGTGTTGGGGTGTGTGTGTGTTTGTGTGTGTGTCCATGTGTATGCATGTGTGTGTGTATTGGTGTGTATGAAATGTGTGTATGTGTATATATGAGTGTGTGTGTTGGTGTGTGTATGAACGTGTGTGTCCATGTATATGCATGTGTATGTGTCAGTGTATGTATATATTGGTGTATGTGAAATGTGTATATGAGTGTGTATGTTTGTATGTGTGTATGTGTGTGTGTTGGTGTGTGTGTGAGTGTCTGCATATGTATTTTGGTGTGTATAAATGTGTGATGTGTGTGTTGGTTTATGTGTGCACGTGCGTGTGTGTTGGGGTGCGTGTGTGTGTGAGTGTGTGTGTGTGTGTGTGTGTGCCTGTGTGTTTTCCCTCTCACTGGAAGCTCTGGAAGATCTGGCATCAGACTAGGCTAACCATCCCAGGCCAGACAGGTCCTATCACCTCTGGTGCCAATCCTGACCACTTCTCAGAAATCTGAGAGGAAAAGAACCCTGTGGCACACAGTCAGTCTTCACTTTATCATGCCACTCGCTAGTTTGGCTGTGGTGTGGGGTCCTGAGGCCGATTCCAGGGGCCTGAGGGTTTTTTCAAGGCATGAGAGAACTTTGTCCAGGACAAAAAGCCAACACTCAACTGGAAAACCTCTGGATGAATCCCACAGATGTAGCCTAAAGGCACCACTGGTAGTTTCTGTTGCTTTAAGAAGGGGCTTGCAGAGGCTGGAGACATGGTGCAGGAGATAGGGAAGGCGCTTGCTCTGCACACAGCCGACCCCTAATACCACCACATATGGGCCAAGGAGCCCTGCTAGGAGCAAACCCTGAGTTCAGAGCCAGGAGTAAGTCCTGAGCACTGCTGGGTGAGTCTCAGAAACCAAATCTAAACCAAAACAAACCAAAAAAAAGGGGGGTGGTGGGGGAGAAGGCTTCTGAATCCATTCTGTGGCTTAAAGGGAATTACTAAATTTTGGGATCTGAATCAAAGAGGTCCCTGCTTTTGAAGAGGTGATGCCTAGGACCAAACAAATGCTCGGGGGACGTGTGTGCTGGCAAGATGGGGTCTCTGAGCAAGCTTGGTCCCTGGTCCAGGCTTCCTTGCTGTGAAATCTGCAGAGAATGCCCCAGGTCTGCCCACTCCGACACCCCCCCCCCAGCCCCCGCCCCCTGGCTTACCTGGGCGTGAGCCGCGTGAGCTCGTCTGAAGGATGCAGGATACGGCAGGTGGTGAAGGTGAAGGTGGAGTTGGTCTGTGACATGCACTTCCCGGGGTGGTGTGCTGCATTGGGGAGGGGTGGGGAGAGAAACAAAACATAGTCCCTGCATCGAAGTAAAACCCACAGAAAAAAGTCAAGAGCAAGCAAGACCCTCAGCAGACATGAAAAGGAAGGGGGATGCTCCCCTCCCCCCCCCCCCCCCGCGTTGCACTGGAGCTGGGTGAGGAAGGTGAAATCAGAATGTTCTGGAACGTTCTGGATCAGAGGTGGAGCTGCTTGACAAACCACCTTTTAGAGCCCTGGTTGACAGAACATTGGGTTTCATCTTCCAACCCAATCCAGGCGAGCTCCCAGGAGCATAGATCTGGCCAGTAGTGGATTTGGCTTGATGTGGGGCAGGGAGGGGTGGTGAATGAGTGGGCCTCTGGAGAAGAATTTGGTTTCCCAGCCCAGAGAACAGAATTGGCTTCCTTCTTTGGGTGGCTATAAATTTGGGAAGCAAATTGGTGCTCAAGGCAGGAGAGAGGTGCTTAGCTCTTGGAAATGGGGCCGGCTCTGCACCCCCTTTCTCTGAATCAGAAAGGGGGCTTGGAGAAGCTGATTCCACTACTGGCTCTCTGCGGTGGGCAAGGCAGGACACAGGACTCAGCGACCTCCATAACCACGGACTCGAGCTGTTTGGGTGGGGACAGAGCTCCCGAATCAGCTCCCTCCTGACCCGGGGTGAGAAAGCCACCCCACAGGGCCTGGCCCCTTGCTTAGCCAGCTCCAGGATGTCTGGAGGTGATGCCAACAAGGCAGCCACACGCGGTCCTGAATGCGTTTCTTCTTGAGCTCGCAGGGTGATTGTGAAGGCAGCTGGGGCCCGTGATGTGGTGCAAAGAAAACCACAGAAGCGTGAGGGAGCATGCGCGAGAGAGCTGGAGAGCCAGGAATCGTCATGATGGTAGAGGTTATCCTCCTTCATAACTCGAATGTTTAAAAAAAGATAAATAGAAAAAGGGAAAAGAGAGGGAAGGTGAGGAAAAGACTTTACAAAAAAAAAAAGATGCTGCGGTGAATAGCATGCAAAGTGGCTCCTGGGACCAACGTTTCCCCCCATCCCCACCCCCACTCCAGCCCTTGCAGCAGCTCAGCCCCCAGAGACCTCCTGGGAGAAGCCCAAGTGGGCCACCAGAGGCCGAAAGCACTCTGAGGAGTCCCAAAGCTGTGAGTGCGAATCTTCTAGCTCTTTAGGGCACATGTTCCTTTTGGATTTGACAAAAAGGAAAAGGAAAAACTGGAGGAGTTGGTTCCTCCAAGCTACGGGTCTACACAATTTACACAGCTAATTGTGTCTAAAATTTAAAAAAAAAAAAAAAGAGAAAAAAAGAAAGAAAGAAAAGTGCCAGAAACCAGATTAAACAGCGACAACCAAAACAAAACAAAACAAAAAAAAGTTGGGGACACACAAATCTCAGGACAAAGCACACGATGGTGACAGTGAGCACATCAGCACTGCAGGATGGATCTGCCCCATCACTGTGGTCCAATCCATCTGTGTCACAAGGTCCTCTCCCGTGGGCCCGTGTGGCGGCCCGTGCCACGGCCAGAGAAGCCGGGTTTCAGTGCAAGGGAGGCTCTGGGGATGGCTGAGGAAGGGGAGGGGGAAACAATACAGGAAAAAGAGCCTTTGACGCAGCAGCGTGGGTTCTCAACCACAAAAAGCCATGGTTTGGGAACTCAGATAACTGAGCAACTGCTGCGTGCAAAACAAACAAACAAAAAATGCAAGAAGCTATGAAGAAAGGGTGACCACACCGATCACGACTCTCATGACTGCGAAAAGGTCTAGGAACAAAAGCAACAAAAAGGCATCCCAAACACCAGGCGGGAGAGGTTATTTGAGAGGGAGGAGAGAAAAAGGCAGCACACGGCAATGACGAGGACAGTCGAGAAGCGAGAGAACACTGGAGAAAAATCAAGGCTGAATCGAACATTAGAAGCATAACCCCATCTGAACACAGAAAACAAGTCAGATACAATCACTTCCTCTTCCAGCCCACCACGGATTAGATCTTCATTGCAACGAGGGGGTGTGAAATGGACATTTTAGAGACACACTGGCATCAGCAGAAGCAAAACCCATCTTCTCCAAATGAGCTTTGGGGATAGGAAAAGGCTGCTAAAAATTCCCAAGTCATTGTTCCCCGGAAGTGGTGGAGAGTTTTCAGAAGACCAGGAAAAATCAATAGGGCTCCAAAGTGTTAAAGTCAGAGGTTGGTCCCCTCCAAAGTACCCTGGGACTCCTGGACCCTCCAGCTCGTCGTGGTCACCATGAATTGCCCGGCCGCGGCAGCACATCTCGTCCTTGGGACACAACACAGACAGTGAGTGGCTGCCCACAGTTCCCGGGGGGTGGCCAGTGCTGGTGCTGGCCAGGGCTTCCCAGGCTGACCCTCAAGGCCCTGAGTGCGGAGGGATCACACCTGAAGGCTTGGCCTCACCACACCTTCAAGTCCTGCCTGGGAGGCTGCACCCTCCTCCTATGTGCTGATCACTTTGGGGCCATCGAGGACAGGGTTTGTGGCTGTCCCACTAAACCCATATCCTTTCCCACTGTCACCAGAAGGCATCTGAGTATTGCAAGGAGAGGGGAAGGGGAGGGGTACTGACATCTGTGCTCTCATAAGCCTTCTACTGATGAATAAACTGATGTCGGTCCCACCCCCATCACCACCAAATCGTGTGTTTTTATTCTTTCTCCCGCATTCCTCCCTTCCCCCTGCCCCCTGGTTCTGACATTGGTCTGAAATCCTTTCATTGATCAAAGACAAATCCTTAAGTTGAATGAGCCCTGATCGTCCACAATCTTACACGTCCTGCGATCCAGCCTACAGACCTTTGGTCTTGGAAACAAGCCACGTGTGAGCCCGTGACTCTGACAACATGTGGGGGAATCTGAGCACTGTATCGTTTAGGTCTCTTAGGTACTTTTGCTCTCTGCTCTGAGGCGGGCGGGCTTTCGAACAGGAGTCAGGGTGTGGGCTGAAGGGTTCTGACTAGCACTGTGCTATGTGGGTACTTCTGGGGCTTAGAACAGACTGGGTGCTTGGGATTCTGTTGCTGTGGTCACCAACCTGGCAGGGCTTTCATTCCCGGATGCCCCCTGGTTGTGCCAGGGGATCACCTGCAAGGGCGCTGCCCGGAGAACAGACGCTGCAGATTGGTGGAACATGGGGACCTGTGGGAGTCCAGACAGCCAAGCCCACAGCTCCCGTCATGAGAGCAGGAGCAAGGGCGGGTCAGGACGCTCTGCTGGGGGCCCAAGGCCAAGGTCAATGGTGGTCTGTGTGCTCCTCCCCCCAGGAATAAGAGTGGCACATGCCCACTCACTAGCTCAGCTGGCTATAATGGAGACCCCCCCAACCCCTCCCTAGGGCAGGGCTGCACAGCGGGATCACATTTACCTGTGTGTTGTCCCTCAGTGCACAGAAAGCCGGAGCTGGCGAACTCCGGGGACAAGCTGTGCTGGTAACCCCAACGCTCTGCCCTGCTCAGGCCAAGAACTGCTTCAGACCTACTGAGAAAATTACAAAGCCTGGCGCTCAGGCTTTACATATGGGAGCCGGCGTTCAACCCTGACACCGCCTGGCCCCCGGACTGCCAGGTGTGGCCCCATAATCAAATAATCTTTTATTGAAATATTGGTGAAAGGAAGTCTGTCTTGGCGATGCACTGGAATGTTCAGTGTTCTTCTTTTCACTCTAGCCAGGGCATGAACCACCCGTGTGAAATGAACACAACACCCCATGCTCCTCTCTCTTTTCTTTTGTGAGGGCAAAACTGATGCCATGACAAGCTTCAGCTAACATTAAGTCTCAGCCAGGCCTCAGTTTCTGTTTCCCCTGAGCCAGACTTGCAGTGTCTGGTAAACTTCCATCTGAATAATCTGCCGAGATAAGGAATTGGGCAGTTGGGTCTGGCCGATCATGAAGGGTCACTGCACCCTCCTTAGAAACTGTTACTAACCATTGCCTAACTGCCGACCACCATTGCAATAGGGCCGATGCTAAAAACAGACCGGTATATAAATTGCTTCTTAACTCTGAACCCTATATAAACTGCTTGCGATTTGGAGTCGAGGTCCTTGTCAAGACTCTACTGCATTGGATAAGACTTGGACCCTAGGTCGAGCTAGCACTGGCTTGGACTAGTGATAAAGTTCCTTTGCTTTTGCATTATCGTGTGTGGACTTGATCTCTCCGAGATTGTGGACCTGAAACTGGGCACAACACTTTAAACTGAAGGAGTGGTGTGCTTCGTTCCTCTGAAATTCCCATAAACTCATTCAGACAAGGTCCCCGTAACCTGGGGCTGCCTGCCCTCAGGGCCAGCCTTTCCTTCTCCAGCAAAAACAACCAGCAGCTCAAAGGTGTGGCTTCAACTAAACCCTAAGAATATTAGCATATTTTCCTTTTCCTTTTTAACCTTTGGACAGTTTCTAATGACTCTGCTGCCCTTTGTCCGAGAGTTCCAACTCCTGGTACTGCCCTTTGGTTACAGGCCCAGAGAAAACCAACAGCGTTTCCCCTGAAGAGCAAATACTTCACCAAACTTTGTCTGCCCTTCAACTGAGCAGTGGTCTAAGTCTGGGGTTGGAATGAATGAGGTTTTAACCAGGTTTTTCCTTGGGGTAGAAGGTGGGGGGGGGGGTGGAACAGAGGCAGTTCCTGTTATAATTCTGCATTAAATAAAAGGGATTTTTAACATTTGAGTTACATGAGGACGGACTTTTTTCAGGTCCTAGCTCCCAGTCTTGTTCTGAGCTTAACTTCCACGCAGCCCTTGTCTGTCCTGGGGATCCCCAGGATCCCCCGAGGCCTGGGGCAGGCACCTATTTGGAGGCACCCGGAAGTTTCTATCACAAAGATTTTGAACTTAGAAGCTGATCTCTGTGGAGTCTCCCTCCCCACTATGCCTATTGTGCAGTGCACAAGACCACAGATGAACCCTCAGGGCAGCAAAGGGGGACAGAAATCTCCTCATCTGGCCACTGGGTATCTTCTGGAGAAAAGGGGAATGTGAAGAATCTTGCTAACATGTCCAAAGGGAAAATGCCAAAGCCTCAGATTCCTTTAATAAGGCAAAGCCAGGAACCCGTGAGGTCTGTACTCTCATCCTCCCCTGAAGGGCCAGCACTGACAGACGGAGGTGGAGGTGGGGGAGCGTCTGGCCAGGCTCTGCTGCATCCAGCTCCCGCCCTGCTAGAACTTTCCCTGCTAGTCCAGGAACTCACAACATCTATCCAAACCTCGACCCCACCATGGGCTCCCTTAAGAGCCCCTCTACTGGAGGCAAGTGTGGCCCACTTCTTGACAGTCCAGGGAGTCACAGGGGCATGGGCGTGCCCTCCTATCCTTTCCACAGCGACCTTTGTCTAAAGGCCACACTCAGCGGTGCTCAGGGCTTATTCCTGACTCTGTGTTCTGGGATCACTCCAGGTACTGTCAGGGGACCATATGGTGCCAGGGATTGGACTTGGGCGGGTTGTTTGTGCCCTGCCTACTGCACAATGTCTCCATTCCCCATCTGGAGAGTTCTAAAGCACTATTGCCTCTGTGCTGCTTGTGTGTATATGCACGTGTGGTGTGTGTGTGTGTGTGTGTGTGTGTGTGTGTGCGTGAGAGTGTGCATGCATGTGTGTGCATGCGTATACGTGTGTGTGCGTGCATGTGTGTGTGCATGTGCACGTGTGTGTGCACATGGTACACGTATGGGTGTGCATGTGTGTGTGTGTGTGCATGTGTGTGTGTGTGTGTGAACCAGGGTCCCACTTTGTGTACCACTCACTTCCGGTTGTACTGGGCTTGTGTGGCTCCAGCCTCGCCTCTCTATTCCCTGCAGGAGCAACAGGGCTCCCTCCACCTCAGCAATAGCAGGACCAGGACTGGGCTGGAGAGTCTTCCCAGCAGAGCAAACTCCTGTCGGTGCCCTGACTGGAGAGCAGGAGCTTCAATCTCCAAGACCCGTTGAGTCCTGCAGATGGAGCAGGCGCATTCTTCCAGTCCACCCAGCCCACCACGCCCACTGGGGACTGCACGTGGGGCAGCGGAGGGAGGGCACAGGTTTGCAGTTCAGGGCTGGGTGGAAGGAACACTAGCTCCCTGACCTCTCCGTCTGGTTCCATCCTCCCAAGCCAAAGGCCTTCCCTTCCCTGGCCCGGAAACAGCTGTCACAGAACCTGCTACAATGCTGATCAAGCCAGTACACGATAAAAGAAGCTAATTCTTCCCTATGGTGGTTAGCGGCTGACGTTGTCAAGGCTGCCTGGACCAAATGTGACTTTGCTTGCTTCCCCACTCACTCTGGGTCTCCGCCCCCGTGATAGCGCCACTGCAAGGCTAGATAGATGGTGTGCTTTGGAGGAAACTGTTCAGGTGAGGCCCCACCTCAAACAGTTTCCCTGTGTATGAGCCCGAGAGGAAAAGTATCCTCTTCTATCTATGCTGCTCTAATCTCAATGCTTTCTTCTATTTAAGAATCATGGCAGGGATGTAGGGCCAGAGAGATAGTAGAGTGGGTAAGGCACTTGTCTTGTATGCAGCAGACCCTGGTTTGAATCCCTATAGCAGTTGTGGTTGCCTGAGCACTGCCAGCGGTCACATGTGAGCTCAGAACCAGGAACGGCAACTGCACATCATCAGGGTGGCCCCAAAGTGCAAAAAAAAAAAAAAAAAAAAAGCCCCTCCCAAACAAACCAAAAACCTAAAAACTACAATCAACCAAAAAATTAAAAATGATCATGGCAGAGCTGGAGATTTAGCTGAAGTCTTGTATGTATGAGGACCTGAGTTTGATCCCCAGCACCTACTGCCTTCTCTCTGCCCAGCACTGCCAAGAGTGGCTCCTGAGGTGCCTGCCATAAAGGCAGGCCGGGGTGGTGGTCATTGGGGCGGGGGGAATGTGACTTGTAGGGGTGGGCGGGAAACTGGGGACACCGGTGCTGGAAAATTACATTGGTGGAGGGATGGGTGTTGGAATATTGTATGACTGAAATGCAATCATGAACAGTTTTGTAATGTTCTATCTCACAGTGACTCAATGAAGAATAAGGCAAAAAAAGAGTGACTCCTATAAAAAAAATCAATTACAATTTTTAAAAATTCAAGGCATCAAAAAATAATTTCTCAAAACTGTTCCTCGAACCAGCTGCCAACTTAATTATGTGACTTTAAAATTCTGGTCTTAATCTTTTACAACACACAATCTCTTCCTTATATGTCAAAACCTAGAATTCCAAAAGTTTGAGAGCATCCTTTGCATGCTCAAGGCCTGGGTTCAATCCCCTGCACCGCATGGTCCTCTGAGCATTGCCGGGAATGTCTCCCAACCTCAGAACCTGGAGTAGCCCCTGAACACTGTGAACCATGGCTCCCAAATCAAACCAACTAACCAATCAAACGAACACACACTAGAAGTCCTAACATTACAAGATTGTGACTTTTTTTTAACAAAGGATTTTTTATATGTTTTTTAAAAAGTCACTATAATCTAGAAAAACTATAATCTAGAAATTGCATTTTAAGCAAATAATTTTAATTCTCTATTTGCAATATGATCCTCCTTTTTGGAGACACAGGATTATGAAAACCAGGAAATGATATAGTAATATGTTAAAAGATTTGAAAAGTTTTTCCTGCTAGAGGGTGGACCCTGGGACTGGGCGAGAGGGAGCCCCCACTCAGGATTCCCAACTGTGAAGGTACCACCAGACACATCCTTCCTCTCACCAGTTTGGCCCAGCAACTTCAGATAAAGCCATAAACAACTCATGGTACGAAAGAGGCCCTTTCCACTGGCCCATGCCCTTCAAGTTAACGTCCCAGAAAAAGGAAAGCAGATCTCAAATAAACTCCCTCAATCAAGGGTGTCTGCACCGATACCACCAAGAACCTCAGCTCCCTGTGGCTTTATGTCACCTGAACACAATGAGCGAAATGACAAATGACTGCTCGCTCCTCCAACCAGGCAGTCCTGGAGTGTCCTGAGGTCGACAGCACTGGGCTCATGCCTCCCTTCCTGGACCTCTCCCCTGACTCGGCAACGGCTTCCTGTTAAAGGTCACAGGAGGACTCAGAATCTGAGCCAAAGAGAAACCTCACACCTCGGGTTCCAGGGAGTATCGAGTACACACCTTCCCATCCGAGGGCTGCTGAGATGTGGGTACTTCTGCGCTGCAGCCATAACTTCCTCTTCCATCATTATTATTATTGTTGTTGCTATTAATTTTGGCATATCAGAAACAGAACCCCCATGGCCTGAAACAGGTGAAGCAATCACTCTTCCCCAGAACCACACCCCTGGCCCCAGTGGTAGTTGGGGGTTAGGGAGTGAGGGCTGCAGGCAGTCAGTCAACATGCCTTTCCAGATTCATCCATGAGTACTCCCTCTAGAGGCTCTTACTATCTTCTCCTAGGGATTGTGGCACTGTCTGCGCTGTAGCACTATCCTCCGGTTGTTCATCGATTTGCTCGAGCGGGCACCAGTAACGTCTCCATTGTGAGACTTGTTGTTACTGTGTTTGGCATATTGAATATGCCACGGGGAGCTTGCCAGACTCTGCTGTGTGGGCAGGATACTCTTGGTAGCTTGCCAGGCTCTTCAAGAGGGGCTGAGGAATCGAACCCGGGTTGGCCGCATGCAAGGCAAACAACCTACCCGCTGTGCTATAGCTCCAGTCCAATCCAATCCCTTCCCAGGGATTGTGGCATGCGTGAGAAATAGAAGGCCCAGGAATGCTGTGGTCTGCCCCTGGTACGTGAACAACAGACACTTTTACCAGCTAGCTGCCTGCAGCCCACCGGCCTGTACTGTATGGCCTGAGAGTGATGCTATAAACACCCAAATGATCTTTTGCAGAAAAAATACCAAAGTAAAACTAGAACCATGTAGCTAGCATTCCCTGAGTATTGCCAGTGCCTCGCTTGAGAGCACAAAACCCAGGACTGGCCTCTAAGCAGGCCAAGTGGGCACCAAACCACCCCCAGCACATCCCCCTATTCACTTCGCACACAAGTAGACACTAGGAAGAAACCATATACTTTCACCCAACTAGAGAAATTTTTTGAAAAAATGACTTATGTAGCCAGTATTGTCTGAGAGCCTTCGTATTTGCCGGGTTTCACTCTACTGAAGATGTGAATGAATCCTCTCCTTCACGGGGCCTACACGGTTTCCCCAACTCAACTCAGTGTAGAAACCCCCAGGGCTGGGGAGAACCTGGCCCTTGCACCGAGGAGGAAGCCTCTGGCAGAAAGAGGGCAGCCCTCACCCCACTTCTTAGCAGCCTTTCCTGCCCCAGCTTCAGGAGCTGCCCCCCGCTCTCGGGGCGGGTGGGAGCTCAGCCCCCACTCCTGTTCCAAAAAGGAGGTGTCCTCTGACTGTTCATTAGCAGCGGGACCTTGGGTGGGAACATTCCCCTCATCCCCCACACAGACGAGCGGAAGCTACAGACACAGAGCTACTGCGAATGGTGCTCAGGACAGAGGGGAGAACGGCCCGGGACTCTGCCTGGGCCCAGGCGCCGGGGTCACAGGACTCAAGGCGGTGGGTGCCCTCACCAGACCCCTCCTCCTCCTCCTCCTCCTTCTCCTCCGTGGCCGCTGGCAGTTCCTGCATGTCCTCGGGGCGAGCCTGAGGCCGGCTCGGGTAACTTCTGTTGCCTGAGACAGTCACGTGAGCTTGGCACCTCTCACCTGAGGTCTCGGGGTGCTGCACTGGCGTGGAGGTAGCTAGGCCCGGGAGGGAAATGTGGTCACCTGTCTCGTCTTCTTCAAAGTCGTTAAGGCAGTACACTTCGTCCAGGTCGGTGTCGAGCGTCCGGAAACCCTTGGTGACCACACCGGGCCGGGGGTCCAGGATGCCCCCGAGGTGAGGCTGGGCCAGCTGCTGCCAGTGGTGAAGGGTGGCAGAACCTGGGGGCACAGAGAGCAGAGGAGGGGCCGGGGAGAGGGTTAGGCCAGCCGGCTGTTTGGACACGGACATCCCCTGCCCCCCTCCCAGCTGGGATTATGCACCCTGGCAGCGCCCAGGGCCCCTGGGGCACAGTAAGGGGTAGATACTGGTGCAGCTGCCACCTTTACTCTTTTGGTGGGATTTAATCCCATGCCAGGGAAGGAAGGGATCAGCAATGAAGTCTTTAAACAGGACAGAGGAATGCCGCCCTGTGCACCCAGGGGTGAGGCCACACATTGTTGTCATTCACAGTGTCAAGACCCGCATAAACCGATCCTGAAATATATATATATATATATATATATATATATATATATATCTCCGCCCAGCTGCACCTAGGGCAGAAACCACCCCCCATATATATATATAGATATGTATATATAATATATATATATGAAATACACAGGCTCAACCTTTAACAACATGCTAGTGATCTCTTATAGAAGGTTTAATGGTCCCTGGGTGAAATACCACAATCCTCACACTCTTTTCTCTAAGGATAGTTTTTTTCTAGCATTCTCAGCAGATTTTCATAACAAACAATACAAAATATGTTATTTCGGTTCTGCTTTGGGGGCAGAGATTGGGATTTGGGATGAAAACATCCAATATATGGTGGTGGGATTGGTGTTTGAATATTAAATGTAATCAAATGCTGTGAACTACTTTATAAAATTAAAAAATTAAAAAATATTAACAAAGAAATGGTCGCAATGTCAACAAGCACAAAAGGCAGAGGAAGCCCTGCCTGCCTGCCTCTCCCGCTGCCATGGCCCCACAGATAGGGCCGACAGAGCTATCAGCAGCACAGGGAGGCTAGGGGCGCCAGAGCCGGTGGCCCCACAGGCTCTGGGGTTCTGTCAGCACCGAGGAAGCAGGCTGCAGAGTTGGGATGAGCCACCTGGGGGAGACGGTTAGGGCCGGACTGAAGCACTCCAGGGGCTGAACCTGAAGAGGGATGGCCTTGCTAATACCACCCTCCGACACCTGACACTGGATGGCACAGTGTGAGGCCTGAGATGACCCCGAGTGTGCCCCTGCGCGCCTCAAGGGTGTCACCTAGTGAACCCCGCCCCACCTCTAGGCCCTCAGCACAGTGCTCGGTCCACCCCTGCTGCCCACCCAGAACTGACACGGAGGGGTTGCCCAAACTGCAATGGGGGGAAGGAGTGGCATGAATGAATGGTCTCCCCACACAAACAGCCTCTGAGAGTCTCTTTGGGGAGCGGGTAACGATCTCTCCACACCCCAGACGGAAAGGGGAACAGCTTGGGATAAGAGAAGGGACAGGGTGGGCTCGAAGCAGGGCTGGAAGCGTAAGGAGAGCAGAGACAGACTCACCAGGCTCTCCTGCTCCCGACTGCACCTAGGGCAGAAACCATGCCCCCAAAGTCCCCAGCCTGAGGTTCTGTTCATGAGCCACTTCAAGGTCACTTCAGGGAGAAAATACTGTCCACGTTACCAAGACAGGCTGGGAAGTTTCTGGGCGGGGATGTGGCTCCTTGGCAGAGCCCAGGCCTTGTACGTGGGAAGCCCTGGGTTTGATCCCCAGCACTACCCAAAACAGGACAAAACAAAACCCCAGGAAATCAGAGACACGGTCCAGGAGTCACTCCCAATGACATGTCCACAGGCTTCAGAGTCGAGTCCTGGACAGAATCACCGTCTGTCATAGAAACATGCGTCACCATCAAAAAGGAAAGGACCAAGCTGATGAGGGGCTTTAGGTACCAGGTGAGGGCAGCTGGTAGGACTCACCCAGAGGTGCTGCTCTCAGCAAGGGCCCCTTCGCCCTGTGTGTGTGTGTGTGTGTGTGTGTGTGTGTGTGTGTGTGTGTGTGTGTGTTGGGGAGGGAGTATAGTTAATAATGCCTGGAGGTAGAGTTGGTTGCCCCAAAGTGAAGACCACCAGGTGCTGGTGGCAGCCAGAGGGCAAAACCCCCAGTGCCCCGGACAGCCAACAGTGGCCCAGCTCTGATGCCAACAGTGCACATCTGAGCCAGATCAGGGGACCTGGACCCTCAGCCCCTTTGAGTCTCCAAAGGAAGCGAAAGACTGTCTCCCTGTGCAGCTGAGGGGGCTCTCATGAAAGAGACACATTTCTGCACAGCAGCCCAGTCCCAAGCAGGGCAGCTCCATTCCAGTGAATTCCATCAACTGCTCAAAATCCTCCGGGGGGTGCTACCATTAGGGGACCCTCAGGTCCCTGACCCAGGGTGACAGAGCAGTGTGCTTTCCATCATGCCTCAGTGCCCACCACTCAAAGCCTACAGGCCTGAGAGCTCAAGACCCCTGAGTCCTGGCAAAGCATTGAGGGCCCTCAACCATACAAATGCCCAGAGGGATGAGTGTGTGTGTGTGTGTGTGTGTGTGTGTGTGTGTGTGTGTGTGTGTGTGTGAGATGGGGGGGGGGGCACTGCCAGGAGATTCGCATGATTCTGGGCTTTCTCGTGCACCCCTGGGGACATCCTTGCAGGGGACATAGTCGTTCCCCTGAGGATGCGTTTCCTGGACATGCAGACACATTTCTGGCAATAAAACTCCCCTGGGAGAAAAGTTTTAGACATGGAAGACGAGACACTTCCAGATATACCCTGTCCATTAAGGCCCCTCTACTTCAGGAAGGGAGTTAGTGTGATAGGTAGGGCCACTCTCCTGAGGTGGCCGGCGGGGGCTGAGGGGTCTCCCAGGCGCAGGCAGAGAGCTCCGTCAGGATAGAGTGTGCGCCCTAACCCAGTCCTGAGGGCCATAGCCCCTTTCCCCACCTCCTGCACAGGTTGGAGACAGAAAGGCGGCCACACTGTCAGGCTGTGGGGTCCGAGAGTGGCCACAGGAGAGAGTGGAGTTCTTCAACCTCCCTGCAAAGGCAGAGCGAGGAGAATCCGGACAGCCCCCCCCCCCCCCCCATGCGGTGACTCACAAAACAGGGATTGTAATGCACACGGGAGGGTTCTCTTCTAGAGGCGCCCAGGAACATGGCCTTCACAGTAACCTTCATAACGCCTGTGCTCCCCACTTGACAGATGAGAAAACTGAGCCCCAAAGGTGAGATCATTCGCCAGAGGTTGCCCACCTGGCAAATGGCGGCTCTGGGTTCAAACCGAGGCTGGCTGGGGTGATTCCTATACTCTGAGCCACAGAGACAGCCTGGTGGCAGTGGTGAGGACCCAGCATCCATGCCCCCACCCCCACCCCGAGGTCAGTCACTCCCATGGCTGCAGAGCTCCTCACAGTGTTGTCTGTTGGGTGAGCACTGCCTCATGCCTGTCACTTGAGTTGGGTCCCACCCTGGGATGCACAGACCATCTCCACCCTTGAATGGTTCTCTGAGCCCCAGAGGGATTTCTTAGTCATGCCCCGCACACACACCCTGTCTACGGGAAGGGGGGGGGCAGGTACTTAACGCTTCTGCTTGGCACCCTTCCTCTGAAAAGAGAGGGTGCACACGTGGGAAAGTAGAACTGAATGTATTCTGAGCCTTGTTCCCACCCTGTCCCCTCCCTCCTCACCTCTTCTCCACACCAGCTGGGCTTACTTTGCTCAGCACCAGCGGGAAAATCACTGTCCTATTAGTCTCCTCTCAAGACCACCAACTTCTCCCTCCATGAGCATGGCCCTGGGGTCGGGCAACAGTGCCGAGTGTGAGAGCCACTTGCCATTTCGAGTGGGCACCAAGATACAGTTCTAGAAAACCAGGGCAAGGGCAGTGGGGAAAACCTATGTCCAGTTCACGACTCCTATTCCTCTTTCTGCTTCACTGGAGTTGAAAAAAATTCCCCGGGGTTGGTTTTTTTTTTCCCCCCTAAAAATGTTCCACATCATTGGGGTAGAGAAAAAAAAAACCAACAACCTTTTTTTTTTTTATATCAGAGGGACACCTGCTGCTTCACAGTTAGGACTCAAGCCCCCGGGTGATGTCTGGCTTAGAAGAGCAAACACATTTCTCCAACGACGTATTCCCTTGTTTCTTTGGAAATGACAACTTGGGTACAATTAATTCCAAATAAGGAGCAAAATATATTGGTGGTAGGGGAGTAGAGGGGATAGCAGCCCGCCCTTCTTTTCAGTGTGGATGTATCTCTTTCTAGTTTTGTCCTTCCCCTGCTTACAGAGCGTAAGGGTTGTTGAAGCGGCAGGAGAGCTGTCACACCTGGCCCTGTTGTTTTGCATGACCCCAACAAGAAGCTAGCAACACCAGTTAAATAGGCAAGGGAGACATATATGCAAGACACTGAGGGGCCACCTGCTGAGATCCCTGCCAACATTCTCCATGACCCTCACCCCAGGTACATTTACCTGGGCCACTGAAGAGCACAGGAACCCTACCAGCTTCAGGGATCCTACCAGTAGGCCAGTGGGAAAGGTTGACGTCAGACCATGGCCCCAGGACCATGCGGTGGAGGCCTCAACACAAGCAAGGCCACCAATCAGGCCTGAGCTGCAGGAACAGTGACACGTGTCGGTGGTCTTAATTGTACCTCTGAGGTACCAGGACCAACACAATGCATAAGGCATTCATGACACCTCATTACGACTCTAAGTGGCAGTTGCACAGAGAAGGGAAACTGGGCTTGAAAGGTAAATTGTGCTAAACCGCTATTAAAAGCGCATTGAACTTGGTGTCAGGTAGTGGTCCACATAGCATTCCACTGATGACATTAAACACAGTAACACCAAAATAACCATGGAGAGAAAGACAACAGAAAATATTGGTTGTATCTTAATCTGCGAAGAAGTCAGAGGACTAGAAGATGGACCCAGTGGATTGGGATACGAGCCATAGTGTAAGGCAGGTCTCTTAAAGGGTAGTGAATTAGTTTCCTGATGAACTGGGCATAGGAAAAGGAAATTACCTTGTAAATCTAATGGGATTTCCGCTTAATCAATTGATTTATCTCAAATATTTCTATGTCACAAGATTTAAAGGGGAAAAAAGGTGAATTAGTACAAATTTAAAAATATTCTTCCTACAATCTGCTTGAAAAATGGATTTAAAAACATCTTAGATGATCTAATGGAATACAAAATCAAATATAGTAAGCAGACAAGAGAGAAATGATAAATTTCAATGATCTTAGACAAAGGAGAAAAAAAGAAAAAAAAGGCAGAAAGTAAAATTGCAGAAATGGAAGATTTTTATTGAAAGAAAAATAGACATAATTATGAATCAGAAAACAATCACCAAGCTTACAACTAAACAATTAAAAAAAAAAAGAATGAGCCATCCCTTTTCTGAAATCAAAGCAGAACCTAAATTATACAATTAAACAATAATTATGAAAAAAATGCAAGCCCACCCTCTTTCTGTTTTCAGAGACTATGAGCAACATCTTGTTTTTTCAATCAACACAACCTCATCTTAGAGCATGAATTCTTAGTAGGGGTAACACTGCCACAAAGGAGTCAAAAACATATTCTATGGGCTGAAAGTGTTTGTACTCTTTTTAAGACACAGAGTACAGATCACAACAGTTAAGTTCACACTTAATACCAACCACATGTTCTTGAAAACTCCAACTTTTACCAAAACAAAGTGTAACGAAACCAATTTTATCATAGGCTAATTGCTAGGAACAAAAGTTCCTACGACATACATCTGTTACAAAACCCACCAAACTTCTAAATAACATATGGAAAACAACACCAAAACCCACCAAACTTCTAAATAAAAGATGGAAAACACTTCTGACATAAAACAGTAATTTGAGTGGGTTCATTCAGCATTTCCCAGTCCACTTTCCCATTCAGCGTCACGGGTAGCCAAAGCCTATCTGGGCAGCTTAGGACACAAGGTAAGAACCACGTGTGGACAGAAAGCCAAGGCACTGCGGGACACACTCACACACACCCCACATTCATTCATCTGGGATGATTTGGACATACCAATTTACATGCATTGTTTGGGTTGTGGGAAGAAACGAAATGCTCAGAGAAAATCACCCAGGGAGGCCATGGCCAGAGACAGATTTTTTTCTTCCTCATCAGCATGATAACCAAAGACACCTAATGACATGATATTATTCGAGGAACTGCTGTTTAGAGAGAACATAACCAGCATCTCCATGATACTGAATTTGGAGGATAGGGGTAGGGGAGGGCAATGAGGAATAAATGTTTTAAATGGCTCCACAGGGAGACTAAAAAAAAATTGAGAATAACTACCTAATCAAAATTTTGATTTGGCTTTGCATCGAGAAGTAATACGAAATTCTAAGGTATTGTCCTCACACTCACACGAAGTTCCCCAAGAAAGGGATAGAACAATGAGAAACAGAAACATATGGCGGCTCCCAGTGATAGGGAATGGAGAAACTGGTATCCGTAGCTATAAGGGGAAAAAGTGCCTTTTCTTCCAGGAGCGGAGTCAGCTGGGGTGTCTCTGGCAAAGCAGATGCAAAGAAGAACCAAACTCACTCGCCTCCAGAGCCAACCCCTCTCCTGGTCCCCATGAGGTAGACGTCGGGAACCCTGTTCTGGACATGTACTTCATGGGATGAAAGTCCTACCCTCTTGGCTGGGGGACAAATAAACAGGCCCACCTAAGGCAAATCGAAGTCACGGGGTTCCTAAACTAGGACCTTCGGTCCTTTCCTGACTCTCGTATACCCACAACATTCCTGAGAAGTCAGGGCCTCACACCTGCCCTGCACCACCGCCCGGGTCATTCCCCGGTAGGTGAGCAGAGCCTCTGGCCCTCACTGAATTTCTAAGGCTGTCGGTGCAAAAGAAAGAACGAGAACCACTAACATCAACACCACCTTCCCTTTGGCTTAGTTGGCTGGTGATAGTTGTGGTGCCTAGGAGGTGCCCTTCCAAACCTGAACGGGAGCAAGGGGGCCTGGCTGGGGTGGGGGTCGTTGGGGGTGGGGGAGGCATTTTCAGAGGAACTCAAACCAGCAGCGCGGGTGGCTATCTCTGAAGAAAAAGGAGTAGGTGTTACAGAGGTTGCCCGCTTTCCGGTGGTGGATCAGGGACCACAGGGAGTCGCTGAGGAGGACAGAGAGGGGCCGAGGCCCCTTGTGATCACCTTCCAGCGGCTTCACGATCTGGAGTTTCTCTGGCAGGTAGGAGCGGCTGCTGAAGGACATGCCGGAGAAGCCGGTGAACTCCGAGAAGCGCGAGTGCGTGCCCAGGGACATGATGCTCTCGGTGGGCGTGAGGGAGCCGCTGTGCAGCTCGCCTTTCTCCGCCAGCTCCCGGAGCTTCCTCTCCTGCTCCTCCTCGAAGAACCGCCTCTCGGAGAGGTAATTCTCCCGGCGCAGGGACAGCCGCCTCAGCGCAGTCTCCAGGTCGTGAGAGCCAGGGGTGCCCGGTGTCCCTGGCTTCTTACGGTCGTCATTTCTGCAAGGAGGGGGTAGGAGGGTGAATAGGCAACTCCCAGCAGGGGGCGCTGTGCAGAGTACAAGGTACCACAGCAGTAGGGGGCATTGTGCTGAGTATCAGCTTCTACGCCAGTAGGGGGCGCTGTGCAGAGTACAAGGTACCACAGCAGCAGGGGATGCTGTGCAGAGTACAAGGTACCACAGCAGTAGGAGGCACTGTGCAGAGTATCAGCTTCTACGCCAGCAGGGGGCGCTGTGCAGAGTACAAGGTACCACAGCAGCAGGGGATGCTGTGCAGAGTACAAGGTACCACAGCAGTAGGAGGCACTGTGCAGAGTATCAGCTTCTACGCCAGCAGGGGGCGCTGTGCAGAGTACAAGGTACCACAGCAGTAGGGGGCACTGTGCAGAGTATCAGCTTCTACGCCAGCAGGGGGCGCTGTGCAGAGTACAAGGTACCACAGCAGTAGGGGGCACTGTGCAGAGTATCAGCTTCTACGCCAGCAGGGGGCGCTGTGCAGAGTACAAGGTACCACAGCAGTAGGGGGCACTGTGCAGAATATCAGCTTCTACGCCAGCAGGGGGCGCTGTGCAGAGTACAAGGTACCACAGCAGTAGGGGGCACTGTGCAGAGTATCAGCTTCTACGCCAGCAGGGGGCGCTGTGCAGAGTACAAGGTACCACAGCAGTAGGGGGGCATTGTGCTGAGTATCAGCTTCTACGCCAGTAGGGGGCGCTGTGCAGAGTACAAGGTACCACAGCAGCAGGGGGCGCTGTGCAAGTACAAGGTACCACAGCAGTAGGGGGCACTGTGCAGAGTATCAGCTTCTACGCCAGTAGGGGGCGCTGTGCAGAGTACAAGGTACCACAGCAGCAGGGGGGCGCTGTGCAGAGTATCAGCTTCTACGCCAGTAGGGGGCGCTGTGCAGAGTACAACGTACCACAGCAGCAGGGGGCGCTGTGCAGAGTATCAGCTTCTACGCCAGTAGGGGGCGCTGTGCAGAGTACAAGGTACCACAGCAGCAGGGGGCGCTGTGCAGAGTACAAGGTACCACAGCAGTAGGGGGCACTGTGCAGAGTATCAGCTTCTACGCCAGTAGGGAGCGCTGTGCAGAGTACAAGGTACCACAGCAGCAGGGGATGCTGTGCAGAGTACAAGGTACCACAGCAGTAGGGGGCACTGTGCAGAGTATCAGCTTCTACGCCAGCAGGGGGCACTGTGCAGAGTACAAGGTACCACAGCAGCAGGGGATGCTGTGCAGAGTACAAGGTACCACAGCAGTAGGGGGCACTGTGCAGAGTATCAGCTTCTACGCCAGCAGGGGGCGCTGTGCAGAGTACAAGGTACCACAGCAGTAGGGGGCACTGTGCAGAGTATCAGCTTCTACGCCAGCAGGGGGCGCTGTGCAGAGTACAAGGTACCACAGCAGTAGGGGGCACTGTGCAGAGTATCAGCTTCTACGCCAGCAGGGGGCGCTGTGCAGAGTACAAAGTACCACAGCAGTAGGGGGCATTGTGCAGAGTATCAGCTTCTACGCCAGTAGGGGGCGCTGTGCAGAGTACAAGGTACCACAGCAGTAGGGGGCACTGTGCAGAGTATCAGCTTCTACGCCAGCAGGGGGCGCTGTGCAGAGTACAAGGTACCACAGCAGCAGGGGATGCTGTGCAGAGTACAAGGTACCACAGCAGTAGGGGGCACTGTGCAGAGTATCAGCTTCTACGTCAGCAGGGGGCGCTGTGCAGAGTACAAGGTAGTGCCCAGGCCTTCCTGCTAGCTCAGCCGCTGTGCACAGTAGAAAATACTATGTCAGCAGGGGATGCTGTGTAGAGTACAAAGTACTATGTCAGCAGGGAGCACTGTGCTAAGTACAAGGTACTATGTCAACAGGGGACGCTGTACAGAGTACAAGGTACTATGTCAGCAAGGGGTGCTATGCAGAGTACAAGGTACTACGTCAGTAGGGGGCGCTGTGCAGGGTATAAGATAGTGCCTGGACCTTCCCACTAGCCCGGCAAGGGGCACTGTGCAGAGCACAGGGTATTATATCAGCAGGGGGCTCTGTGCAGAGTACAAGCTATTACATCAGTAGGGGGCGCTGTGCACAGTACAGGGTATTACATCAGCAGGGGGCGCTGTGCAGAATACAAAGTATATGTCAGCGGGAAGCTCTATGCAGAGTACAAGGTAGAACCAAGATCTTCCTGCCACACCAGCAGGGGACGCCATGCAGACAAAAAGGTGCTAGACCATCAGGGGGTGCTGCGTTGCTCCAAAGCCTTCCTGCTCCAGCAGCAGGGGGAGCCAGGCAGAATTTGAGAGACCCAAGGTCTTCTTCCTACACGTTTGCACACAGGATTTCCTAAGGAAGCCAAGGCAGGCAAGCTGTTGATATCTGGGCAAAAATGGGGAAACAAACACCTGTCTGGAAAAACTAATTCTCCCTTGGGTTTTGTTTCCTAGATGCGGAGATAAGGAGGTGGGGGAAATGCTAAGGGTCACCAAGGTGGAGTGAAAATTTGCATGTAAAATCCAGTTCCTCTAAAGCTCTCCCTCTGCCCACTGCTGAAGTGGCAGCTGACGCCAGCACCACCTTTTGTCCCCTTCGGGATTAAAGGCACCAAGAGCTCAAGCACAGTCCAACCAAGTTGTGAGCGATGGGAGATTCAGTAACGTCCCGGGAAAGGGAACACAATACACAGTGCTAGAGGGGTGCATCTAGGACGAGGAGGGACTGAGCCAGGAAGGTCCACCTCAAGGACACGGGATCTGATGGGCACCTGCTGGGTGCTTGACACCCCACCAGATTCTGGCCAGAACAATGAGAAGAAACCTGAGCCCCCCTTAGCCTTTCAAAGACCTAAGCGACAAGGGGGTTCATGAGCAAATGCCTATTCTGCAGCCTACAGTGAAGGTCTAGCAGAAAGAAATACTCACATATGCTCCCCACTAGCGTCTTACAGATGCCTGGCGCATCTTTGCTTCTGGACTTGGCTTTGGGTTTGGGTTTGGGGTGGGGAGGGGACACACCAGCAGTGCTCAGGGCTTACTCTTGGCTCTGCACTGAGGAGTCATTCTTGGAGGGGCTCAGGGAACCATATGGGGTGCTGGAGCTGGAACCCAGGATGGCCACATGTAAGGCAAATGCCCTCTCCGCTGTATTATTACTGGGCCCCTGTTTTCTACACAAACACACAGTAGTGCTTGGGGGACCATGTGGTGCCAGGGGCCAAACCTGGACCTCTGCATGGGGTCCTTCAACTTGTTACTCTCCCTGGCCCCTGGTGCCTCTTTAATCAGGTCAGGGCTCCAGCATCGGTCAGTAGGTTGGTCAAGGCAGAAGTGAGATTGAGATCTCGTTTACTTCCGGGTGACTTTCTTCCCTCCCCCCGCCCCCCGCCACTCCGCCAACAGCTTCCCCCTCCATGACAGGAAGGTAGAACCTCCCTGCTGGCTCACCCCTGGTCCTCGGCCTCCAGGATGATGCTGTTGGTCTTGTTGTCCAGGATGACGTTGCTGACATCGCTGCCGTAGAAGCTGGAGCGGGGGGTGCTGACGCAGCTGGACAGGAGGGAGTTCATGGCCGAGGACTGGTTGGAGCCGGGGATGTTCATGGGTGAGGGCGTCAGCGAGCGCTGCTTTACCACCTGGTTGATGTTCCTCACCGTCTCGAAGACGCGCTTCTGGTGACTAGGGAGAGGAAACCGCATCCCGCATGTTGGCACGGCGGGGAGAACCTGGGAGCTCACCAACCCGCCAACCGTGCCCCGCCCCCCAAGCCTCTCCTGGGGGGGACTTTCCCAGGAGATAAGCTGGTCCACAGAGCCCCACTTTGGGTCCTGCCTGAGCCAGACACCCACTGAATTCAGGGCTCAGACACACACACGGCTGAGTCCGAGGGGATTCTAGCAGGCGGACGGGACTGTCCAGTCCCCTTTGACTTGACCTACTCATGACAACACTCCCAAGGGATTCTGCCTCTGCCCTAAGTTTCCTTCCTTTGGGAGGGTTAAATAATAATAAAAATAAACCCGAGGGAAACCCAGTGGAGGCGGGCCGGCAAGCGCTTGTGCAACGAGCAAACACGAAGCATCTGGCATCTCGAAGATGAGACCGAGTCTTTAGCTTCCACATTGCGCTGACCAACACCAGTTAGTCTATGTCAGAAAGTCTATTTCCGAGAGCAGAATCACACTCGGAGGCCCGTGGGTCTGCTTTTACGTTCTGGGGGGTTGGAGGGGGTGGTTCCGAGTCATATCCAGCAGTGCTCGGGGGCTACTCCTGGGCTTTGCTCCCAGTGGTGCTGGGGAACTGAGCCTGGGCTGACCACGTACAAAGAAGCACCTTAAACCCTGTACCATCTCCCGGGCCCCATTTGCCCATCTTTAAGGAGAAAGATGGGCCTGTTTCTACCAAGGCTGCTTCTCTCTGTGAGGCTGAGGGTGTCACTGGTGACCCCAGAATCAGGGACACTGACAGCTCCCAGGGTCCTGCGGATGGGTTTCTCGGGTACAGAGAGAGTACCATGAAACTGGAGCCGTGGGTTCCTTGCAAGCCCCAGGTCCCAGAGTGGGGAGAAAAGAAGCAGAAACCGCTGGTCCCTGCAAGTCTTCGCAGGGCAGTGAAGCCTGGCTTGCCCTGAGAACAGTCTTCTGCAGTTCAGACCATTTCCTAACAGACATCAGGAGTTTTGGAAGTTACATTCATCATTGAAAGATTAAAAACTTAGCAGTGGGCCACAGAGGGAGAGAGTCAGGGGTTATGCCGCTTGTCTTGCACGTGCCTGCCCCTGGGTTGATCACTGGCACTCCATATGCTCCCCTTAGAAGCACCAGGGGTGATCCCTGAGCACTGGGCCAGGAGTGATCCTTGAGCACTGATGGGTCTGACCCAGAAACTGGAACCAAAACAACCCAAGCAAGGGGTTCCAGATGGGCTTGTGGGAGCAGACTCAGGAGGCCTGGCTCTCCCTTCCCCACTCTCTGGACGGGCGTGATCTACTCAAAGGCCCGGCCAGAGGTGCCGGGCAGCTTCCATAGGCTGCTGTGCTCCCCAACCCTGCCCGGGAGGCGAGGCAGGACCACAGCGGCCCAGCGGGTGTCTGAGGCCCTGGACTGCAGGTCTGGACCCCCACGGGCCCGAGGCACAGGTTCCTGGGATGCTTAGAACAGTCCGTACGCGATGTCGGGAGATTCCGGCTCCTCCAGCTGCAGCTCCTTGCGCATCGACCCCTCGATCTCCGCTGCCAGGGAGTCCTGGACAGAGCCAGAGAGACACGTGTGAGCGATTCAGCCTGGGCTCCAAGGGCGGCGTGGCCAGGCTAGCCTCTGCAGCGTGGGCCGAGGCCTCAGCAGCCTGCGCTTCCCATGACCACGGCCCACAGCTTACAGCCCATAGCCCATGCCCACGGCCCAAAGACCATGGTCCGCAGGCCACAGCCCACAGCTACGGCTCACGGTCATGGCCCATAGCCATGCCCATGGCTGGCCCACGGCTCACAGCTTAGAACCCACAGCCCATAGCCCACGGCCACGGCTCACGGCCCACAGCCCACACCCCACAGCTCACAGCCCACAGCTCACAGGCCATGGCCACGGCTCATGGCTCACAGCTTACAACCCACAGCCCACAGTTCACAGCCCACAGCTTACAGCCCACAGACCACAGGCCACAGCCCACGGTCCATGGCCCACAGCCACAGTCCTTGCTGTCAGAGACCAGCAAGCCTGTCCAGCAGGCACCAAGGGGCCACAGGGAAAGGCCCTTCACCTCCAAGCAGCTGAGGGTCTGCAAAGAAAAACCCCGTGTCCCCTGGTCCAGCTGCAGAGTCCAGCAGTGGCCATGGAACAGGCAGAGAATCGCACAGAGATCCAAGCCACGGTACCGTCAGAGCCTCTACTCCTGTCCCCCAGCCTCCCTTCTCTCCTTTCTGGTCCTGCTACCCCCCACTCCCATCCCCCATTCCATCCCCCATTCAGTCCCCCATACTCCCACCCCCCCACCCCCCCATCTCTCATCCCATCCTCCACACTCCATCCCTCTCTGCTCTCATGCCCCCACTTCTCCCCCCCTCTGCTTTCAGGCTGCCTCCTTCCCATCCCCTCCCTGCTTTCTAGTCTCACATACCCTCACTCCCACCCCTCCTGGCTCCATCCCTGCCTCACTCGGCCCCAGCCCCCAGCTCACACCTCCCCCTCAGTGGGGAGCCAGGCTCTGTCTCTTGTGTCACCCACCACCACGGTTCGTCCTGGCAGGTTCTCTGAGTCTGTCTCTAGCCATCGTGGGCGGTCAGGGGACACTGTCCTGTGGGTGCTTCACCCTAGAAACCTGCAGTTGCCTGGGCTGTGTCCCCAGCTCCTGGCCCTGCCAGGTCCCTCCTAACATCTAGGGGAGTCGCTAAGATTCCTACACACTCATGTGCGCACCAGCAGGACCCACTACAGCGGGTACAACAGCACCTGTGCAGGCCTCAGAGGCCTCCCACCCCACCCATGCAGGATAACCTGGAGGGAAGGACTGTGAGCCCCAGAACTCTCTGAGAGGTGTGTCCAGGATGGAGGCCACTGAGCATAGGAAGTGTGGCCAGCAGGCTGAAGAAATGACTTCTTCGTTGCACATTTTTCATTGGTCCTTCACGCACAGAACCACAGCACCACCTGTGCACAGGGCTTTCTGGGCCCTCGGGGACCCCAAGGGGTCCGAACCCCTAGCCCTGGTATCTAGCAGAGATGTTCAACCCCAGATGCCAGTGCCAGCAGAGAGGACATGATAGGGGCCGGGAGGATGCTCAGTCCACAACATAGGGCGTCTGGGCTCACTCCCGCTTCTGTACCTCCTAGTGGTGTTCCCCCTGGTGGCCAGGCAGGACTCGGCATCTAACTTAAGCACGACAAGAGAGGAGAGAGCTCCGACTGCTAAGTCTGTAACTGCACTGGGAGAGTGTCGCAAGCAGGCTCTGATGAGAGTCTGTTGCTGGCTCTGCTCTCCTCCCAGCAGCCGGGGATGCCTATGAGCCCCTTCTCAGATGAATCATCCAGGTGGCCTTCCTGGCATGCAGAGTGCCTGAGTTCATTTGCCAGCACCACGCAGTGGCCCCGGTGGCCCCCCTCATGGCTGGCTCAAGTTGCATTTCACCTCCAGACCCAAACACTGAGCCTTGGAGCCTCACAGCTTGGCCAGCTGTAGCTGGCAGTGACTCCAGCACCCCCTGAGCACCGCTTCTGAGACCCTCCCTCCCAAATAAAGTAGTAATTAGATTTGCTGTTGTTTGGGTCACACCTAGTGGTGCTTGGGGATTACTCCTGGCAGTACCCAAGGGCCAATGAGATGCAGGGGATGGAATCCAGGACTGGAGCCGGCAAAGCCCTTGAAGTCATACCCTCTGGCTCCAATGACGAATTTAAATCAATAAATCAAATCAACAGGGCCAAAAGGAAACTAGGCCTAGAAGACTAGTAACTAGAATAAATAATCAGTGTGATCACTGTCACTGTCACTGTCCTCCCGTTGTTCATTGATTTGCTCGAGCGGGCCCAGTAACGTCTCCATAGTGACAATTGTTACTGTGTTTGGCATATCGAATACATCACGGGTAGCTTGCCAGGCTTTGCCGTGTGGGCGAGATACTCTCGGTAGCTTGCCGGGCCCTCCGAGAGGGGTGGAGGAATCAAACTCGGGTCGGCCATTGTTGGCCGCATGCAAGGCAAACGCCCTACCCGCTGTGCTATTGCTCCAGCCCAATCGGTGTGATAGTGTCACATATTGGATCAGACTTGGGGGCTGGGAATTTCTGTCATGTTGAAGAGGAGATTAGCATGATGGTATTTCTGAAGCATCCACAGATGCTGAAGTGTGCCGTGGAAATAGCTGTGGCTGCGGGTGGTGACAAAATTCGCAGAGGCACGAACATCCCTGGGGGTGACTGCCAGGCCCCTCACGGGGGAGGAAGCACTGAACACAGCTCGGGAGGGTGAGAATGTCAGAGAGACTCTTTCTTCAAGTCCGTAGCCCCCCTGACTCTGCCTAGGGGGTCCTGGATTAAGAACAGCCACAGGGAACTGGAGCTGGCTCTGGCCAAGCAGGTCACTCACTGCTTACACCGCAAGGAAGACCCGCTGGGCGCGGCTGGGATGGATGGAGTGCGGGTAAAAGAACATGCTGTGTGTCCTGCCCAGGCCAGACCCCAGCACCACAACATCCCTGAGTGACACCGGGCTGGCCCCGGGGGTGCCTAGCACCCAAATGACAGAGCAACTCCCTCTTTCGGGCCCTGGGAGCTGTCTGACCTGGCTGGCTGAGTTTCACCAGGAATGAACCCCAGGACCTTGGAGCACCGCCAAAGAGCCTTACAAATAAACACCTAATATATATGTCATCTTCCAAGCCTGAGTGAGGCCAGCGGCAATGGCAAACAAAATTTAGCAAACAGGGAAGCGAAAGTTCCCTCCCCCAAGGAAACGGGAGCTTTTCACTCAGCCTTTCTTAGGTAATGGCTTCATTTAAAAAAAAAAAAAAAGGAGGGTTGGGGGCTGGAAAGATAGTCCAGGGAGCAAGGCGCTCGCCTGCCTCGCATACAGCTGACCCTCGTTCAATCCAGGGCACCTACCACATGGTCCCCCTGAGCACCGCCAGGAGTGACCCCTGAGCACAGAAGCAGGAGTAAGTCCTGAGGAGTGCTGGGTGTGGCCCCCAACAAAGACAAACAAGGCAGAGGCCTGTCCTTGCGAGTAGAATCCTCCATGTGGAGGCAGACAGCGAGAGAGAGAGAGAAAGAGAGAGAGAGAGAGAGAGAGAGAGAGAGAGAGAGAGAGAAAGAGAGAGAGAGAGAGAGAGAGAGAAGAGAGAGAGAGAGAGAGAGAGAGAGAGAGAGAGAGAGAGAGAGGAAGGAGGGACAGGAGAGGGAGCTACTGCCTGGTTTAGACGTGTGAAAGCAGAAGCTTCGAAGGAACCATGATTGAGGAAGAGCCGGCCAGGCCGTCAGCAGTGGGGGTGAGGGTTGGGAGGCTGGACACAGTGAGCGGAGGGGGGGGGGGGTGCTGAAGGGAAGGAGCTCCCGGGAAGGCCGCATTTGGGAGGAACCAAGGCTCTCACACATTTCTGGGGCACCCACGCCTCTTACAGGGGTGTCTGTCTCTAAAGGTGGCTCTCCTCAGAGAGGAGCTGACATTTCTATTATCTCGCAGAACTGGAGCCTGAATTTAGAAATTCCAGGTGAAGTGATGTGTGCTCTTTCTCTGTCTCTGTCTCTTTGTCCCTCTCTGTCTCTCTGTCTGTCTTTCTCTGTCTCACTCTCTGTCCCTCTGTCTCTCTGTGTCTGTCTGTCTGTCTGTCTGTCTGTCTCTCTCTCTCTCCAGATCTCTCTCTCCAACCACTCTCCTGGCCTATTCAGCACCGTTGATTCCATAACCCATGAGGCACCGAGCCAGAGTCAGAGTGGTGGGGACGCGAGGAGGGAGGAGCAGTCAGACCCAGGGCTTCAGGCTGCTGAGCAGGAAAGGAGTAAAGCGGAGGAACAGAAGGCCTTGCAGGGAAAGGGTGCGGGGTGGGGCCTTGACAGGTGCTCAGTGCTTTCTAACCCTGGACCCTTGCAGCCCTAACAGGGGGCCTGGGCTAACACAGGGAAGACTGCAGGAAATTTAAAAATATATAATAATAATAATAATAATAATAAAAAGCTAAACATGACATGCCAGGACAGAGAACAAGTATTCCCGCTTAGACACGGCAGCTGTGCCAGAGCAGTGCCCTGGAGAAAATGGACAGGCAGCCACAGAGCCAGCAGCTCTGTCTGGGCAGGACACCCGAGAGCCCTGGAGTGTCCCGGCACAGCCGAATCAGAAAGCTAGCAGAGCCCTTGCCGTGGGCTCCGTCCACGGGTGCCACTTGGGAGCCCTGAGGCTGTGGCCAGGATGCGGGCCACCCCAGCTAGCCTAAGAGACCCGTGGGTGCACACTGCCTCGCCCAGTGCACCCCGCACAGCCAAGAGTGCTCACCCGGGCATTGCAACAACAGAGAGAAAGGGAAGGGGGAACATGTACAATCCCATCTTTCAAATCTCTGAGATGATCCCTCCAGCAACTCCTGAATCCTTTCCATATGGAAGATTGCAGGGTGTGTGTGTGTGTGTGTGTGTGTGTGTGTGTGTGTGTGTGTGTGTGTGTGTGTTGGGGGGTGGGATAAGGTAAAGCTGAGCCCCCACACGGTTAAAGCACCAACCAGCCTCACAAACCCACACTGAGAACCTGAGGACCTGAGAACCTGGATCCAAGTGGCCAGACAAGAAGCCGCCTGTAACTCACTCACCACCAGGCCTTCCGGCCTTATTTACTTATTTACTCTTTTGCTGTTTGAGTCACAGTCACACCCCGTGATGCTCAGGGGTTACTCCTGGCTCTGCACTCAGGAATTACTCCTGGTGGTACTCGGGGGGGGACCCTATAAGATGCCATACTCAAACCCAAGTGGGCGTATGCAAGGCAAAAGGCCTCCCCGCTGTACTATGTATGGCTCGGGCCCGGCCTGCCCACATGGAGCACCCCCGTGGTCAAGGGGAGCTGGGACAGGAGCACTCACCATGGGGAAGAGGCCGAGCGAGTGGTATCGCCGGGAGGCGGTGCTGGGCATGGTCTTGTTGCGCAGGTTCTTGAGCTCCTCCTGCGCCTCGTGCAGCATCTCCATGCACTCTGCATACTTGTCCTCCAGCTCCCGCAGCTGTGGGGGCAGGGAGGGGTAGGGGAGATGGGCTCCCGAGGTCAGTGGTGGAGGGCCCAGTCCCCTGGGGGCCCAGCTCGGAGATTTGAGACCAAACACCCAAATCCGAGAGGGCCCAGCAGTCTCGGAAATCTCAGAGGTGAACAATAGACGCTGGAGTGATAGCACAGCGGTAGGGCGTTTGCCTTGCGTGCAGCCGGCCCGGCAGAGCCGGGTTCGATTCCTCCGCCCCTCTTGGAGAGCCCGGCAAGCTACCAAGAGTACCTCGCCCGCACGGCAAAGCCTGGCAAGCTACCCATGTTGTATTCAATATGCCAAACACAGTAACAGCAAGTCTCAAAATGGAGACGTTACTGGGCCTGCTCGAGCAAAATTGATGAACAAAGGAAGGACAGTGACAGCGAACAACAGACATGGAGATCAAACGGCTCTCACAGAAGGGTCCCTCGGGGCAGGCTGCTGCACCCTAACTTCCAGCCCCAGCTTTGCACAGAGGCCCTTTCTCTGCCCCGGGAGCTGTGTGCTTTGACTGCATTGTCAGGCAGGGGCTCATGCCAGCCTCCCTCCTGGCTGAGGGCGCCAGCATGTCCCCGGGGGATTGTGGAAACTGGGGATGCGTTGGGAGCAAGAGTGACCGCTGATGCAATCACTACGTGGAGGTGAGCATGGACACGACCCGGGGACTGAGGGGCGGGGGAAGGTTCCGGGAGCTGGGACTGGGTGCTGGCACTCACCTCGGCCGTGAGCTGCCGCTGCGCGTCCTTGGCAGCGCCCAGGTGTTGGACCAGCTCTTCATTTTCCACGGCGCACTGAAAGAACGAGCCATATGCCATTGGGATTTGCTCCCAGCAACCTGGGGGCCTCCAACTCTCACCATTGGGCTTCACTCCTAGCAACTTGGGGCCCCTAACTCTCACCCCCCTGTGCTCCTCCATGATGAGATTCACACTAGGAGATTTTTATCTTATCCTCCAGTAAAAATTCATCCTTCCAGGGAAGAGTTTTTCCTTTACCCACAGTTCGTCTCTAAAGCACCCCCCTGGCTCTGTCTGTCCCCGCCCCGCCCTGCCCCCACCCAAAGTCGAGGTCAGCTCCAGGGAATGACCTGGGCTGGTTTTCAGGTCCACTTTGTCAGAACCAATGTTGGCCCAGCAGCTGATTCTGAAACCCGGCCCCCACACTCCTTCTCTACCACACGCAGCTTTCTCAACAAATTCTGTGGCTATGTAGGTGACTCTTGGGAGGCAAATGGGGACAGATACATATACCACCACCACCACCCTGCGAGGGCAGGGCCGTTGGTTTTGATCCTACCCAGCTTGCTAAGCTCTCTCTCCAAAGGAGCGGTCCCAAATCCCACCATGAGAAGCAGAAGGGCGGGCACTGCCTTTGGCGCTGCCCCCTCCCCTGCATCAGCCTCACCGCCTTGGCCTTCTTCTGCAGGTCCACTATCTGTGACAGCAGGTGCGTGATCTCCTCCTGCTGGCGGGCAGCATCTTCCGTCTTTTTGGCCAACTCCTCTGAGATACTGGCAATCTGCACGTTGGCATCCCCTGGCACCAAGGAAGGACAGTCCCCAATGCTGGTCAGACCTCCACGGGGAGACCCAGAGAGATAGGGGCTTCTTTGTGTTTTGTGCAAGAAAAAACACCTTAGTGACACAATGGGAGGTGGGGGGGGCAGAGGTGGGCACAGCAAAAGGGAAATTGGGGTAAGAGTGCCCAGAATTGGCCATGGGGAATCATGAGGAGCCCTTCCCCCCAGCTCTGGGCTCAGGCTTGGTGGAAGCCCCTCCCAGACGAAACCAGGCAGTCTTTTTGGGGGAAAGGGGTCAGCTGGATATGGGAGGGGGGTCACCCCAGACAATGGTGTTCCGACCCAATCCCCATGTTCCACATACGGACAGATCTCTTCATTGACAAGGGTCCCTGAGGCTGCCTCGTGGTCTAAAACAAGCTATTGCTAATGCACAGGCAAAGTCCAAAGTGCTAGCGCCCTAACTCATTTGACGAGGACCAAACTGGAGATGGGGTTTATTTCCTTCATATTTTGCGGAAACTCAAACTGCCCTGTCTGCCCTTCTGGCCCTGCCTCGTCAGCAAGAGATGAAAGGTGGAGGGAAGAATTTCCAGTTTGCATTCCGTAGGTTATCACTGTAACATCATCCACTCTGTCGAAGACCTGAAATTTGTTTTCTCCGCCTCATGACTTTCTTCTTTTTTTTTGGGGGGGGGGGGGGGGGTGTCACGGGCTAGAGCGATAGCACAGTGGTAGGGCGTTTGCCTTGCACGCAGCCAATATGGCTGACCCGAGTTCGATTCCTCCTCCCCTCTTGGAGAGCCCGGCAAGCTACTGAGAGTATCTCGCCCGCACGGCAGAGCCTGGCAAGCTACCCGTGATGTATTCGATATGCCAAACACAGTAACAACAAAGTCCCCAATGGAGACGTTACTGGGCCTGCTCAAGCAAATTGGTGAACAATGGGAGGACAGTGACAGTGACAGTGTGTATCACACCCGGTGATGCGCAGGGGTTACTCCTGGCTCATGCACTCAGGAATTACTCCTGGCGGTGCTTGGGGGACCATATGGGATGCTGGGAATTGAACCCGGGTCGGCTGCGTGCAAGGAAAACACCCTACCCGCTATGCTATTGCTCCAGCCCCTCATGACTTTCTTAGTCACAGCACTTTCTCTAGCACATGTGGAAGTTTAAGGATACTGTAGACCGGCATTTCTCAACCTAGTTCCAACTATGGCCTCCCTCCATCCTTGCTTCCTCCTGAGGTCCTCCTACCCTACTGGTCTCATACCATGGTCCCTGTGTCACCCTTGGAATATCTGGGCGATTCAGAGGGGCCTTACGGCTCCCGACTGAGAAAAATACATCTATCTGCGAAAATGTAAATTAACTGACTGTCTATCAGCGGGCATCTGGTCAACAACAGACGATGGGAGAGTCTAGTTGTAAGAGGATTTTCAGCTGCATTGTGGGGTGCTGACCCTGCTTTGTTCCATACTCAACCGTATCTACAGTTGAGAGTCTGGCCTTTGCATTCACGACTCAGATGGCCAGAAAGCAGTTTGTCCACAACTTCCACACCCGACTCTGTGGCTGGGCCTGCCTCCCAGGACCCGATAATTCCCTTTTGGATTGCTGAGAACCCAATTGCACATTGTATATCCAGCCCGGTGAGAAGTGGTGATGGTGTGTGGCTGCTAAGCCAATGCCTCCCTGCTGCTCCTTGGGTCCTTGGGGTGAGGGGGGCAAGAAGGCGGTGTGGAAGGGAGGCGGGAGAGGGCTGGGCTTCAATCAGAGGGTGCACAATGACTGAAGAGGAGAGGGCAGGCGGACTCACTCAGTTCCTTCACGCAGTCGCTGACCAGCTGCTGCTCCTTCTCCTCGTAGGTGATGGTCTCAGTCTTCAGCTGGCAGGCCTGTGGACAGGGCTTGGGTTAGGGGTCCCGTGCTCACACCTGGACGGTGCTGAAGGCCGGGGCGCTCTGTAGGCTGGGAAGCCATGCTTCCAGCACCAGTGACCCCCTCAAGCCGGAAAGTTCTGCTGATTCTATTCCTGTTTGGAACCTAGTCCAGATCTGTCAAGTTCCAAAAGATGCACCGCTAGGGGGCGCCTCACGCAGACAGGAGAGCGCACCACCTGTCTCTAGTAAAACTGGAATCACTTTTATCTCTCGCCTCCATCCCGGCTCACAGACACGGAACCCCAGAGGCCCTCTGAGACGGCTGCGTCTCCTGCAGCACCCCACAGAGAACCACACCACCCAGGCAGGTCGGGTGCCACCCGCCAAGGCTGGGGGCATGCAAATGAGACATGAGCACAGCCTTTAAAGTAAAGAGTATGTAGGTTCTCTAAGGTGGGTGAAAGTGACCATCCCCAAGACCCGGCAATCCCACGCAGAGGTATCCAAACAGCAACATACTCATTTGGGAAGATGCCTGCAGCCCCGCACTGCTGCTCAAGGCAGCATCATTCAGTATAGTCAACACGGTTCCAGGCCATGGACCAGTGAGTGACGAGGCAGCGAAGGGCAGGCACACTTCATGCACACACTCGAGGGAGTTAAAAAAAAAAAGAGGCAATGGTGCCCATCTAGGCATAACCGGGGGGAGGGGAGGGGTGAGGCCATCCTGCTGCACAAGGTAAGTCAGGAAGTGAAAGGCAACTGCCCGGGGCTTCACTCACTGGTGGAATATGCGCAAAGTGGCGGGAGCAAGACTGACCCCTACAGACAGGGGGGAGTGGGGCGGCTGCTGGGCTGAGAGGGGCTGGGTGCGGGTACGTAAAGGCACAGAGAGGTGTCAGCTTAGACCCCTGAAATTCTATAGCACTATCTGCAAATTCTATATCACTATCAGCCCAGGATAACATTTCAATCAAGGGAGAGTTAAATTCCTGAGTGCTAGCTCAGGGCTCGGGATGATGTATCCAGATGCAAAGGTAGGAAGGTGGACCTCAGAAGGCTGAAGAACATGGCTCCCTGGAGGGGGGATAGGGGGAGAAGGGTGGTCTCTGGGTCACACTTGGAAGAGGAGGAGGAGGAGGAGGAGGAGGAGGAGGAGGAGGAGGAGGAGGAGGGAAAAAGAGGAGGAAGAGGAGGAAAAGGAGGAGAAGAAGCAGGAAGAGGAAGAAAAGGAGGAGGAGGAGGAAGAGGAGGAGAAGGGTCACCCAGAGCTAGACTGGAATCCCTCTAGCAGCTTCAGGTGAGACTGCCATGGAGGGATGGGCCCTCTGGCACTGTGCCCACCTTGGCACCCGGATCTGAGGGGACCAAGGTTGGACCTCTGGGTAGCCTCAGAGCCATGACCCTCCCTTAAGTATTAGAGCATCAGGGCTATTCAAGTGGGCAAGTTCAAGGGACAGCTGGCCAAGCCCACTTGACTGGCGCTGGGGCAGTTGGGCCAGCTTAGGTGACCACACTGGACTAACATCCCCATGGGGTTGCACCGTCCCTCTGGCTCAGGAGCAGAAGCTGATTCTGAAGACGACAGGGCCAATGTGCAGGCATCTGTGTGTGGGGCAGAGTGCAAGGGAGAGAACGGGAGGTCTGTGCTCAGAGGCTGGCCACGCTGCCTTTGGGACCTGCACTGTCGGTGAACACCTAACAGCACTTTCGTCATTGGAAACAAGAATCAAAATAACTGGCTCTCAGCCTCGCTGTGAAAAGTAAAACATAAAAAATAAAAGAAACAAAAAACTGGGGCCCGGGAGATGGATTAGAGGGGTAGAACTCATGCCTAGGCCCACTTCAGTCCCTGGCACCTCCTGGCCCCCCTCACAGCACTGGGTGAGGCTCTGGTGGTCCCTGAGCACTCCTGGGCCTGCACCGCCAGACCAAGCAGTGCAGAGAATGGGTCTCCCCTGAAATTTAAAAGGAAACAAAATACAGGGCTGGCCAGAGGCATAGTTCAAAGGCCCTGCATGCAGGAGGCTTGAGTAGGATCTCCAGCATCCCATGGTCCCTAAGCACAGCCAGGAGAGATCCCAGAGCACCATGCCAGGATTAATCTCTAAGCACCAGCAGGGTATGGTCCAAGTCTCCCAGCAATATATGTGACGTGTCCAGCCCATGAGGAATGCTGAAGTCAAAAGTAGGAATCTCAGAACCGTACCAGCTTGGCTTTTTAAACTAAGAACCAGGTCTCCAAGTTCTACTCTGTTTCCCTAGAATCCGCCTGATGGGCAGCAACTGGAGAGTGAGGGGTGAACCCTGCACATATCCTCCAGGCATGTGGTCTCACCGAGGAATGGGCTGGCCGACTCCTCATCACCCTCTTGCTGCACAAACCCCCTTGGCCTCCCCAGCCCAGGCCCAGCACTGCCCTGGACGGCAGGGTCAGCAGGACGCTCCTGCCACTGGGAGCTGTGACTGCACCTGAGGGAGGGTGCTGTGTTACCCCCCCCACACACACACACACACAGTGTCCCTACAGTAGGGAGGGCAGATGGGGCCACCCCTCATTCCTGAGGGGACGAGAACACGGAGAGAAGTCAGTACTTCACCTCGGAGCGAAGAACCACATTCTCTTCCTCGAGGTCCTTCAGCTTCTTTTGAAGAGAATCCAAATGAAAGTAATTCTGGACGGAGGAGGACGACTCATTCCTCTTCAGCCTGGAGGAGAAGGAGGCGGCACGTTCTCAGGGAAGAGACATCCCCCCCCCCCAACCTCCACCACCATCACCACCACCCCCCCCCCCCATGGGAAGCCCACAGGCAGCACAAGAAGGACAGCATCAGGGAAAGTTGGGCACAGGGACACCAACCAAACCCAGCAGACACCGACAAGCTGCCCATCCAGACTCCGATCCCGACCCTCTGCCCACACTGGGTGGGGGCCACAGGCTTCAGTGAAATCAAGTTCAGGGATAACCCTGACATTTATAATGGGATTCCAGGGTGCCAAGAATTGACCTAAGTCTTTTCAGCTCCAGGTGCTCAGGACAGTTACTGTGGCCACCTTCAAAAGGGGATGTGGCCCAGGGGACTCCAGGGACAGGCCAGAAGCACCCAGATGTACCACAGGGCTGAGGCTGGGGCAGGTCCATACTCTCACGGGGAGGCTCTGCTGACTTCAAGACAAGCCCCCCACCTTCTAACCCACGGACCCACTCGGGCCACTCAAGACTCAGCCTCCAAGAGCAGAGACCACCATCTTACCCAGAACATGTCTGGGAAAGTCCATCTAGACTGGCGGTTCCTATGCTAATCTGACCCTTTGCAGGGGGAACAATCACTCAGCACCCCTTAAAAATTTACCTCCTTTAAGCAAACAGAAAGTGTCCCCCAGTTGCACCCAAGACTACTACTACCAGCCCCGTGGGTCACTCCAGTGCCCTGCAGAGGCAGCAGGACCCCCTTGGGAGACCCTAGTGTAGACCCGCCAGTGCTCAAGGCTCCTCTGAGAGCAGCAAAGCCCTGTCCCCAAATGGCCCCTGGGCCTAACAAGGGTCTGGCCGAGGCTCTAGGGACACATGGAGGAGGTGACCCTGCCTAGGTGGCTCCTGGGTCAGCGTCAACAGCCTGCCCATGTCCCCGGGGACAGGCCCCCTGCTGACTTACGGGGTGGAGCACGCCGACTCGGGCTCGCTCTCCTCTGTGACCCGGGTGTAGAACTGTAGCAGCTCATCCTTCATGGACAGCTCATGCCGCAGCTGGGACACCTGCAGAGACACATGCGGTGGGGGATGGGGGTCAGCTGTTGCCGCCGCCACCATCACCTCATCCCCATGAGGGCTCAGGGCTTGCGGTGTGCTGAGGGTGAGTTGTTTTTTTTTTTTTTTAATTTTTATTTTGTAGACTTACAAATTTTTGTGCTTGGGTTTCAGTTATACAATAACCGAATACCCATCCCTCCACCAGCGCCCATCCTCTACCACCACGGATCCCAGTATCCCTCCCACCCCCCATCCCCCCCATTCCACCCTGCCTCTGTGGCAGGGCATTCCCTTTTGTTCGCTCTCTCCTTTTGGGTGCTGTGGTTTACGAAAGAGGCACTGAGTGGCCACAATCATGTTCGGTCTATAGTCTACTTTAAGCATGCATCTCCCATCCTGAGAGGATCCTCCCAACATCCTTTATTTGGTGCTCCCTTCTCTATCTGAGCTGCCTTTTCCCCTAGCATGTGTGGCTGGCCTCCAAGCCATGGAGTAAACCTCCCCGAACTTATCTCGGCTATTCTTGGGTATTAGTCTCCTATTTTGTTTCTTTATGTTCCCCAGATGAATGCAATCTTTCTATGTCTGTGAGGGTGAGATTTTTATTCCTCGTTAGAAGGGAAGCTGCTCACTGATTTTTGTGCGTTTCAAAGAAAGCACGGGAATGAGTGTGATCCCATGTAAGAAAAATACAATTACTGTTTGTGGTCGAAGCCTTTGTTTTAAATGGCCCATTGGTGCTCTGGCACAGAGAGGAGGTGGGCAAGGTCGAGAGGGCTCGGTAGGAGGGTCAAGAGAGGGTATGGGCTTTGCATGGGTCAAAGCCAGCTGGGTCAACTGACCAGAGAATTGGATCCCCTTAACAACTGAAAGAGGAGGTCTGCCCAAAGCCCTGGCCACCAAGGAATGGCCACCCCGGTGACACCAGCGGAGGGGGGGGGGGAGTGTGAGGAGGGGGCAGTGCAAAGGGAGGTATCGAGCACTTTAACCCTTGCTCTCACCTGGAAATGTCCCTGCAGGCTGCACCCTCCCAGGACTCAGCCAAGTATGGCCGGACTTTGATCTGATTTCAAGGGTCACTGAGAGGAACCCCAGATTCCGTAAAAGAGCAGTCACCAGCCTCTGGCCACCCCGACCAGAGTCAGGATAGGACTTGCAAGTCGCATGGTGGTTTCGAATGAACATGACCCCATGTCCACCTCAAAAGGTGCCTCCCGCCCCACCAACTGCACTGGGCCCAGTTGCCCCTCCGCACGCAGGAGCAGGGAAGCAGACTCCAGCGGGAAGTGAATCCTGTCCTACTTTTGTTTCTCAGTTGACTCAGAATACTAACATTATGTTTCCCTGGGAGCAGCTGGCTTTATGGGCACGCAGGCTTTTGTCTCCATCACCCAGACTGTTAATTTGATGAGGCGTCCAAGAGGAACATGTTATAATTTTCTAATGGAAAGCTCTTCTGCATCTAGGGCGGTGTGGGGGTCAGGGAGCCCCAGGTAGAAGCAGGAGAGACAAAGGTGACCGCTTAGGGGGTACCCAGGTGGCATATGCCTCTGCCCACAGGGGCTGAGGAGGGGTCCAGGCTGACCTGGCATGTTATGACAGCTGAGAGAAAGGGGGTTCAGGTCATGATGCTGCTGAGCCCACACCCCTTCCAGAAAAGTCAGCACCACCTGTCCAAATCCTTACCCATGTAAATAGACCTAAAATTGTCTGCCTTATTCTCCCCACACTGTTGATATTTATAAGCCAAATTTTGTATCATAAGAATCACGAGGTTTCTATCACGGAAAAAAATAGGTTTTTGTTGTTGTTGTTGTTGTGTTTTATAACACAAAATCCTATTGCAAAGAGGATGGTGCATGGCGGAACTGCCCGGGCCGCCACAGGCTCTGCCTTCAGAACAGGCGGCTCTGGGCTCCAAGTGCGGGGGACGGGGAAGGGGGACCCCTGATGTCTTTCCCCCGGCGCTGCCAAGAACTGCCCGTGCTCACCTCCTCCCGGATGTGCTCCACCTGCTCCTCTAGCAGCTCGTTCCTCTCGGTTAGTGTCTTGTTCTTCTTCAGCAACGACTGGCCAATGCGAGCGGCCAATTCTAAATCTCGCTCTTTCTACAAAAGGCAAAAGAGCGAGATTCAAAACAGAGAAAAGAAAAATCACAAGCTTCAGAAGGAGCCAACAGAACTCGGGGTCCACAGAGGAGAAGAAGAAGAAGGTATTTGGAAATAACCAAGGGATGAAGTGGGCATGCGTTGTGGGTAGGAGGCCCTGGACACAAATCTGGGACACCCCCAGATCAACGGAATCCCCGGTTGGCCACTCTGGGGTCAGCTGCCTCTCAAAGTCAGGTACACTCTGCTCTGCTCACACATCTCCTAGGCGAGTTGCCTCGGTCTCAAGCCATGGCCGGGCTTCTTCCACCACAACCAGGTACGTCCTCAGCCTCCAGCAGTATCTCCTGGGGTGTTCATTCTGTGCTTCCCGGCAGGAGCACCGGGATCCGCCTCTCCCCCAGGGACCCTGAGCATCTATTGCTGGGCATGGCCGCCAGGCAGAACCCTTACAGAGCCTCTTCCCAAGTCTCTTCCACACCCATCCCATACTCAGTAGTGGGGAACTCACTGAGCCATTTTAATTGGCCTCTCATGAAACAAAAATCCTGCAAGTTAACCTGAAATGCAATGATAGGTTTCCCCGACTTCATGACAGACTGCTTCCTTCCTCTTCATGTTGGGGCCTTGAAGTGGGGATGCCCAGACTTAAGGGTAGGTGGTGGGTGAGGGGGAGACTCCTGGACATTCATCTCAGCCAGGTGGTTCGATGCTAGGGCCAGAGAATGTGGAACTGCTTGGTTCCTGTGGTGCCGGGGACCCCCCGGGGTGACTCTAGCCATGCTTGGGGGCTTCCAGGGCTGTCGTGAGTGGTGAGAAGAAAAGAGGGGGCAGGGTATGCCAATGTTCAAATTCAGGTCTCAGCACATGAGACATGTGCTTAGGGGTACAAAGCATGTACCCCTGAATGTTACTCCCCGCCCCCACCCCTGCCTTCTAGGCTTTATTATTATTATTATTATTATTTTGCTTTTTGGGTCATACCCAGTGATGCACAGGGGTTACTCCTAGCTCATGCCCTCAGGAATTTACTCCTGGCGGTGCTTGGGGGAACATATGGGATGCTGGGAATTGAACCTGTGTTGGCCGCATGCAAGGCAAATGCCCTACCCACGGTGCTATTGCTTTAGCCTCTAGGCTTTATTTTAAAAAGGTAACAACAAAACTGTCTAAAATGAAGAGCTAGTGGCTAGTTTCCAACCATTGACTGGTCCTCCCGGTCTCTGTTTACCCTGGCCTCAGGTATCAGTCATATATATATATATATATATATATATATATATATATTTTTTTTTTTTTTTAAATATATCCCACAACATGAATGCAGTCATTCTATATCGGCCCCTCTCTCCCTGGTCCAGGGAGCTCAGGAAATGTAACCAGGTAGAGCTTACACTGTTCCTCCCTCTTCTCGGCCTGCTTGGATTGCAAAACTCAAATTGGCTGTCTAAAACTGTACTTGCATCCAGGCCCCTTCTGCCAATGAACATTCATGCTGCTGGACACACCCCCAGGGGGTGGGGGGGGGGTGAGCAGCCGCCTCCACACTCAGCCGCTGACTCATCTCATTCACTAACTCAGGCTAAGAAGTATGACTCAGGGGCCCTCGGAATAACCCTCTCCCAAACCGGGGAGGAGGCGAGTGTCTTCCAAAGGTGAATTCCGAACAGCCCTGAGTCAGGACAAGCCACAAAATCCTCCTTCCCTGGAAGCCAGAGGCGGTGGGTCTCTGCTGACTGGGGCTGGGCTCTGTCTGACTCCAGTGCAGATGTCCCCCAGCACCGCACCACTAAGGCCAGGCAAAAGCACAGCAAAATGATGGGAGAATCTAGAAGTGGAGCCAGGCTGAGTACGGCACAATACAACCATAGCCACGCTTGAACCAGGAAACACTCCTGGTTCCAGACAGGAAGTGAGGTCAGGACAGGGAAAGGTACATGCTGACTCAAACACACAAAGGCTGAGACCCCTAAAAACAAGCCCCCAGCACAACCAGGAATTGCCTAAAGAAACAGTCCTCTAAGTATTCTTCTTCTTTCTTTTTTAAGACTTTGGGGTCAAACCCAGGAGTGTTCAGGACTTACTCGCTCAAAAGTCACTCCTGGAGAGCTCAGGAGACCCTATGGGATGCTAGGAATGGAACCTGGGTAGGCTGGCTTTAAGGCAAATGCCTGCCTTCTGTGCTATTGCTCCAGCACACCCACAAGTCTTCTTTGCAGTCATTTGCAGTGTTCCAAAAACAGCGATAAATTCTGTGCAGTACAGTGACTTTCACTTAGATATGAGGGGCCAGTGCGGGCCAGGGGCAGCCCTCAGCTCCATGCGCATCTGTCCAAACAGGGACTGTTCTTGCCCACAGCGGGGATCATCCAGTCCCCTCAGCTCTAACTCCACAGCAGCAGCACAGCAGAAAAATTTCCTGCCTCCTGTCTTTTTTTAAGCTTTGGGGGTCATATTTGGTGTTACTCAGGACTTACTCCTGGCTCTGCACTCAGGAATCACTCTTGGTAGTGCTTTGGGGACCATATGGAATGCCAGTGATCAAATGCGGGTTGGCTGCGTGCAAGCAAGGGCCATACCTGCTGCCCTGCTGCACTATTGTTTCTTTTTTTTTATTGGTGAGGGGGAGGGGATTTTGGGGTCACACTCAGCGATGCTCAGGGTTCCTGGCTCTGCACTCAGGAATTACTCTTGGCAGTTCTGGGGGACTTTATAGGATGCTGGGGTGTGAACCTAGGTCAGCCACCTGCAAGGAAAACGCCCTACCTGCTCTACTGTGGCTCTGCCCCCTGTACTATTGCTCTTTAAAATAAAAATATCCCATGAATCAACACACTGTATTCATGTAAAAACTTAACAAGCGGGCTGGAGCAAGGGTGGTGGACATAGCGGTCCAGGTTGAAAAGAGGCTGAGCGGCCGTGGGAAACTTCTGACCTCTCAGATCTGGGTCCCTGTCCTGTAGAATTCCAAGACATAGTGGCATTTGCTTCAAGAATTACTGGGGAATATGGGAGACAGGATTTGGACGACACTTTCTGCTCAGTTTCTTAATTATAAGCTATTTATCACAGATCTGCTATCCCCAAGATTAAAGGGAAGAGAAGAACTGCCCAGCAAGGTCCCTCCTTATTTGAAAAGCCTCAGAGTTATCCGTCTGGATGAACAAACCAAGTAATAGCAGGATGGCCAGAGTAACCCCTGAGCACTGCTGGGTGTGGCCCCCAAACAAAAATAAGATAAAATAAATGAAAATTTAAAAATAAACTACCAGTTGCTCATCTAATCTAAAACAAATTCTAGGTATTTTCTCTTGCCTAGCTTTTATTGGTTATTTCCATGCCAATACAGCATAAAATTCCCTTATCCTGATGTAAATATAAACCACATTACAGAGGCAGTGGTGGTGTATTTTTATTTTTATTTTTTTGACATTTCAGGATACACCTAAGATATACTTTTAAGTAGATAAGGGCTTTTAAAGCCTAAACTGGGAAGCCTAGCAAGAATTTAGATGCTATTATATTTTGTGTCATTCATACATCTCTTTTCAAATCTCTAAAATCTGTACCCAGAGAGATAGCTTGAGTACTCTCAATGTACTCTGAAAGCACGCTCTATGTGTGGAGTGCAGGGTTCAAGCCCTGGCACCCTGGGAACAACCTCTGAGCCCTGAGCCAGGAGTAGCCCCTGGAGCACCATCGGGTATGGCTCCAAACCCAAAACAAGTAAGTTAAATCAAATAAGATACAATCTCTCAAATCCCTTGGACAAAGTTACAGCACCCCCGGGCCTATAAATCAACCAGTTTCATGTTTAAGGTACAAATTATACCGAGTGAGGTCAATTCCAAGATTCTTTGCAGAAATTGAAAATAATGTGCTTCAATCAATACATGTATCATCAGTTAGGATTCTTTGCCTTCCCCGAAACAACTTACCTCCTCAAGCAGCCGAGTGACAGCATCTATGTCATTATATGTCTTAGTCATCTGGCCAACTCTTTCGGCACATAAAACTGCAAGAAATTAAAAGAAAAATGCCTGTGAGAAACCCGGTGCTACCAAACTAGCAAATGAATGACCGCTCCTAAACATGGCTCTGGGTCCCAGGGACACAAAATCCATCAGGTCAACTACAGTGAGTTGCCAGGAGCCAAAATGTCAGTACGGCCTGACCTGCAATTTAGGAACTAATCTCTTCTTGGAAAAATGTTAAAATACATTGTGTAAGTTTCTGAGCTACGCCCGAAATAATTGCCATGAGCCCGCCATTAGGGCTCACACCCTGATTTGCTGAATATCTGCATGCTTTGTTAATTCCCCATTTTGCCCACTTCCTCACGTAATCACTTATAAAAAGCTAGCTTGGGAGAAATAAATTTAGAGCTTGATTAGAGTCTTGTCTTGCTCCCATTCTTCTGTCTCCCTTTTTTCTCACTCGCGCACCCTCTCCTGGTTATCCACATTGACTAGTCCCGCGGGTCTGGGCAGTGAGTGGTTGGTGCCAGATTGTCTATTTGCAAGTTCCTAAGAGAGAAGATATTAAAAGTTCTCATCTGGGGATGGTGCGGCTGGGGAGGGCTTACACTGCGTGTAGGTGTTAACTAGACATCTTGTGATTCTTCACAGCCTAGACAAATCCCAAATCATAATGCGGCATCCCCCAAACTACTATCAGGCTAATGTCAATTATGTCACATTTCGACAAACAGGACTCAACGCCGGGCTTGCATGTTAGAGACACAAGAGACCCTTGACCTTGCCAGGTTCAACTCACCAGCCCAGTGGGAGAGAGGAACCCTACGTTTTGAGGGATTGAAGAGTGAGATTAGGTGTGTGAAGTCTCAACACATGTGTACATGTGTGTGTGCATCTGAGCATGTTCAGAGATGCTGGTGCTGAAGCAGAGTGGGGGCTGGTGTCATTGAAAACAATGATGCTGGCACCACAACTGTGTTAATTAAACCACATTCCATTCCAGTGTGGGTCCCTGGTGATATGCACTGGCATCAAAGTGTTAAGTTCAGGAATGGCTCAGCGGATCAGTTAGCACAGATCTGGTACAATTTACAGCACTGAGGGGAGTAGGGAGAAAGCTCAAGAAAGATGCAGATTGAGTTGTCCAAAGACCATGGTTCCATCTCTGGTATCACCTAGCTTCCTGTTAGTCTCAGCATGGGACTATCTGCTCTGGCTGGCTGAGTATCACTAGGACCCCAGAACATTGCTAGGGAGGATCTTTTCTCCTCCAACTTGCCACTAAGAAATAAAAATTATAAAATGGAAATCCTCGTGAACTGTACAGACTGGCCCTATGGCCATAGGAGGAATCTGTCTCAGTGTGTATGTGTATGTGTATGTGTGTGTGTGTGTGTGTGTGTGTGTGTGAGAGAGAGAGAGAGAGAGAGAGAGAGAGAGAGAGAGAGAGAGAGAAAGAGAGCGAGAGAGAAAGAGTGAGAGAGAGAGAAGCTTTGTTCTGAGTGGATCGTTTTATAATTTCTGAATGACACAGCCCCCTCCTCCCGACATGGCCTACATGTCCATGATCCTGTAACTAGCCTTCCATTTGATTCCTTTTATCCCCAATAAAAACATTATTATTGTTACTGTGGCACATTCCCCAGGCACAGTGCTATCCTACTACACAGAGGGTCACTTCAGGACTGTGACTTGACCCTCCTCCTACTGGAAACAAGGTTGAGAAATGAGAGAAGCCTTGGGTCTACTTAAACATTTTCAGAATGGTTTTATTCTACAGCCAGGTTAAAGGAAACAGCCAGCGCATGAGAGGATGGCTTGGGTTTTATTCCCCGTTAGGAGGAATTCATACAAACAGGGTTTAGGGCTAACGTTCTTGTGAGCCTGTCACCACTGACTGAGGTAAATTATAACTCAGTGGCAATTCTTCTTAACTAAGACTCTAGAATAATTCTTTCAAGAGTTGAAGAAGACCTCAGTCAGCAATGACCCACATTCAGCCCGGGCAGGGCATTTGGGGATTGAGGTGCATGACTGCGTAGTAGCATCACTAATGGCAAACGGGAACTGCAATGCAATAGGCTCTTTCAATATTTTATTAAATGCAAGTAGAGTTCGTCCCAGGGAAGGCGCTCAGAGAAATAGATCTGCTGGAATGATTTTCTAGCTTGAGGAGGAGATGAGAAATCTGGTTCCAAAACTGAAACCTGATCAACGCAGAATTCAGGGCCAGGAGGGGCTTCTTTAGGGCACCCCTAACCTTGCAGGCACCCTCCGCCCCCTTGAAGGAAGTTCACCATCACCTCCCACAGAAGTGGTGAGAAGGGTGAGAAAGGGCTGATTCACAAGGGTTGGCTTAAACCAAAATTAAATTCAGAGGAGACGGAGTCCGGCTCAAATTGCTGAAACGGCTATGTCACAAGAAATCTGCCAGTGGTGGGTGGGCGGACAGGCAGGGATGAGAATGAGGGACAGCTGTGCTCGCCAGAGCCAGAGAGGAGACAAAAACAGTGGGGCCTCGGCCAGGCAGGAGGCCAAGAAACCCGCTTTCGAGGAAAGCGTGGCTGCACCTCTCAGAGGCGGGCAGAGGACCCCTGCACCCACAGAGAGCTCTGCGCCAAGCCCGCTCAGGAGAACAAGAGCAGCCAATGCCCCCATTGTCCTCCCCAAAGGACCCAATCCTCTGCTGTCCCAGAAAACGAGAAATCCAGGCTACATTCCACTCATCTGCCTCGACGTCACCCTCCAGCCCAGGAGGATACAATTCTGAGCTGCCAGCTTCTCTGGAACGGTAGTAATCAGAAATCACCCACTTTGTTTACTGGGCTGACAGGAGTTAATCATGTGTAGATAATCAGATGCAGATGAAGAAGGGAGACAGAGATCCGATGTACCCTTGACCCATTTCCCCTCCACGGGAGGCTCCAACCTTGATACTGTCCAGGAATCTAACTCACATTTCCCTGATGTGGCTGCGCTCATGTCAGTGAGTGTGTGTATCTATGTGTGTCTGTGTGTCTATGTGAGTGTGTCTGTGTGTCTATGTGAGTGAGTGTGTGTGTCTGTCTATACCTATGTTGAGTGTCTGTCCATGTGATTGAGTGGGTGTGTGTATGTGAGTGTGTGTCTATGTGGGTGTGAGAATGTGTGTCTGTGTGCCTATATGAGTGTGTGTCCATGTGATTGAGTGGGTATGTGTATGTGAGTGTGTGTCTATGTGAGTGTGAGAATGTGTGTCTGTTTGTGTACCTATGTGTGTGTCTATATGATTGTGTGTGTATCTGAGTGTGTGTCTGTGTGTTTATATGAGTGTGTGTGTGGGGGGGGAGTAGAGCACACATGCACATGAGTACAGCTGACTTTGTGACAGGATTGTGAACTGTGAGAATCAGTCTCTGGATATGAGTGTTATTTTTTTCAATACATATGTTTGGCTCTCCACCTCCTTGGAGTCTGCATTCACAGATGCAACCCAGTCCAGATACTGACTGGACTCCAGGGTTAAAGGAGGGTGGCCCACAATAAGTGACTTATGCATCTTCTGATTTCTGTATCCTCTGGGGCCCTAACGCTCGCCCCTAGCCCAGCATACCCTTGATACTCTGGTTTGTCCAGGTGAGACAGGAACTGGTAATGGGGTGTCAGAGAGAAGATGGGAGTGATCCCTGGAAGATCCTTCTCTCACTTCTACTCAGGGCAGCACCTGTCAGCGCCTCTGCATGTGAGCCCTGATCCTCCCCAAAGGAAGCTTCCTGAACATCCTGCCTGGCCTGCTCATGGGGGCACAGAGGGAGGGTCCACCTGAGAACCACAGACTCCGAGTGCCCAGGAACAGACCAAGAACAGAGAAAATCTCCCCTTCGAAGAACAGAGTTTTACCCGGGGCAGAGGAGGCGTGCTGAGAGGGGAGAAGGGTCCTTTAGAGGGATGTGACACTTTGATGGTAGACAAGACATGGTAACATAGTGACCCTAAAACACAAACATTTACTGTTTTGTAAATCAATGCTAACTTTTATGAATAGATAAAAATACAAAAGTTCCCTGTAGGGCTCTAAATAATCACACAGATGCCAAGTTTCCAGGCATTACCAAATAGAACATGTCCCTATTCCACTTTTAAAACCTCAAGAGTTCTGCTACTGCCCCAAGGAATAGCCACTACACAGGGCATGAACCACAGATCACCCTGTCCTCACCCACCCCAGCCTCGCTCTCTGGGGCTGTCTGCCACAGTGTACGCAGCCCAGCACAGCCCAGCACAGCCCTGACAGGGTACACACAGCCCAGCACAACCCTGTCACAGTGCACCAACCCAGCACGCCCTGTCATAGTGCATGCAACCCAGCACAGCCCTGATGTGGCGAACACACAACCCAACACAGTCCTGTCACAGTACATGCAACCCAGCATGGCCCTGATATGTTGAACACACAACCCAGCATGGCCCTGATATGGTGCACGCACAACCCACCACGACCCTGTCATAACACACACAACCCAGCAGGGCCCCAACAAGGCACACACAACCCAGCACAGCCCTGCCACAGCACACACAACCCAGCACGGCCCTGCCACGGCACATGCAACCCAACACAGCCCTGCCACGGTGCACACAACTCAGCACAGCCCTGCCACGGTTCCCGCAACCCAGCAGGACCCCACCCCAGGGACGCCACCCACAGCTCAACTACATAAGCACAGTCCCCCATAGCTCCCTCTGGGGAATTCCTGCTCCTGCTGCCCTGTGACACCTTCACCATATCCCAGCAACCATCCAATGGCTGTCAGTTCCGTGCTTCGGATGGGCACCTTCCCTTGAAGAAGTCCAGCAGACCTCCAGACAGGGCTGCAACGTAGGAAACATCTGTCCGTGGCAGCTCCAGCTCTACTGCTCAGCAGCAGGCAACACCCGTGGACTCGCCTGGTGGTGCTTGTGGGTGACCTCCCCGGGCCCCACACTTAATGGCAGAGAAAGGAGGCACTGGGGAGTTAGGTGAGTTGTCTAAGGTCACGAAGAGTTTAAACGGACCAAAGAG